TAAAAGGAGATTACTCTGCAATACCAGCACCAGCCAGTAGGGGTCACTGTGTGTGGAAAGAGGCAGGGATAGGAAGTTACAGCATATCTCTTCCTGCCTCTCTCTACTCACTAATCCGCGGGTGAGCAGCTACATAGCACAGAGAGTTCAGACAGCAGCTCCCAGCCTGCAGAAACAGACTACAGCTCAGGGAAGTGAGGGATGAGGGGAAAGGCAGCAGGGAGACATGGGGACACTAAGGGACACATGGGGACACTGAGACACTTGGGGACACTGGGAAACATGGGGATGCTGAGACACATGGGGATGCTGTGAGATATAGGGACATTGGGATACAAATTGGGACACGGAGACACTAGGGACACAGTGTCTCCATGTTTCCCAGCCAGTGTCCCTAGTGTCTCTGTGTCCCTAATGGCTCCCAGTGTCGCCTAGTCTCCCAGTGTTTGTGTCCCCATGTCTTCCAGTGTCCCCATGTCTCCCAGTGTCCACATGTCCCCCAGCCAGTGTCCCTTGTGTATCAGGGTCACCAGGTCTGCCAGTGTCTGTGTCCCCATGTCTCTCAGTTTCCTTAGTGTCCCCATGTCTCCCAGTGTCCCTAAATATCTCAGTGTCCCCATGCCTCCCAGCCAGTGTCCCTAGTGTCTCAGTATCCCCTTGTCTCCCAGAGTCTGTGTTCCCATGTCTCTCAGTGTCCCTAGTGTCTTAGTGTTCCCAAATGTCTCAGTGTCCCCATGTCTCCCAGTGTCTGTGTCCCTGTGTATCTGTGTCCCTAGTGTCTGTGTCCCCATTTCTCCCAGAGTCCCCAAATGTCTCATTGTCCCCATGTCTGTATCCACAAGTGCCCCCATGTCTCCCAGTGTCCCCAAGTGTCTCAGTGCCCCCATGTCTCCCAGTGTCCCCAAGTGTCCCAGTGTCCCCAGGTCTCTCAGTGTCCCCATGTCTCACTGTGTCCCCTAGTATCCTAGTGACACAGGACACACTGAGACATGGGGACACAGGGAGAAATGGGGACACTGAGACACTGGGAAACTAGGGGACTGGGCGACATGGGGACACTGACACTGTGATACATAGGAACACTGATTCCAGGCTGGCCTTCCAATTCTTTGGACAGACATGCCACCTTTTTGGGCATGTTCTCCCCTTTTGGCAGTTCTGGTTAAGTGATTTGTGTCAGTGGCCCACCCTTTTACCTCGCCCATTGACTTCCTGCTTCCCTGGACACTGCTGTTAGGGGGTATGGTTTCACTTGAAATATGAAAGCATGAATTAGAGAGAGATTAGCATAGAGTATGTGTTTTCTTATAGCTGCATCCTTTGAGTTTCCCTCCAATACCATATCCATCCGATACATGACGCTTGAGAGTTATGACTGTTTTAATGTTTTTGGTCGATAAGATTCTGTAATTAGGCTCCATCATAATTGTCAACACCAGGCCCACTGGGCTCTTAATCTGGCTCTGTTCTTACATTTACCTGCCCTACAAAAGGACAACCCTGCCCCTCCATTAGTTCTCCAATTTTACTATAAAAAAGACCAGAATCCCCAAAATAAATGACAAAAAATAAAACCACACCAGAAGAAAAATAAAAAAAATATAATTTAAATTCAATTTATGTTGAAATTTTAAGCAGTGTCTTATTTCATTAATGTAAAAAATTAAAATAATTTTAATATAAGGATAAAGATAGCCCATGCCTTTCATTAAACAGGATTATTATTCACCTCATGCCGCTTTTGTAATACAGCTTAAATTTATTTACTTGTCTTATTTAAACAAACAATTAAAATACTTAAAATGCATCTACCTACAAATAATGCTCTTAATTTAGCTTGGTTGGAAGAAAAATGCAAAGTGCTTTCAATGATGCAGACATCAATTCATGCATCTTGAAACCACTGCTGCTATTGTAATGCCTTCAATGCAATAAATAGTGTCCACAAAAGCCACTTGAGAAAACCCACTTGAGGAGCCACTTACTCTGCATAAGGGGAAGAAGGCTATTTTACATACACTGAACAACCACAACATTAAAACCACTGACAGGTGAAGTGAATAACATTGATTATATTGTTACAACGGCACCTGTCAAGGTGGTGGGATATATTAGGTAACAAGTGAGCAGTCAGTTCTTGTATTTCATGTGTCTGAAGCAGAAAAAATAGGGAAGCAAAAAATCTGAGTGACCTTTACAAGGGCGAAACACTGGTGGCTAGACAACTGGATCAAAATATCTCCAAAACAGCAAGTCTTGTGGTGTTATCCCAGCATGTAGTTGTTAGTACCTACCAAAAGTAGTGTTAGGAAGGAAAACTGGTAAAACAGCATCAGGGTCATGGGCGTCCAAAGTCAAAGTGTCCATGATGACTCCTGTCCACTGTAGAAGCACATTTAATGGGGACTGGAGCATACAAACTGGACTGTGAAGCAATGGAAGGAGGTTGTCTGACAATGTCCTACTGGGAAACCTTGGGTCCAGGTATTCTTATGGATGTTGACAAGTACCATTTAGAGATTGTTACAGACCACGTACACCCCATTGTGGCAATGGTGTTCCCTGATGACAATGACCTCTTTCAGCAGAATAATGCAGACTGAGACACTTCAAAAATTGTTCAGGAATGGTTTGAGGAACAAAACAAAGAAAATAACACTAATGGCAGTATTGTATAATGAAAGTAATGGGAAAAAGTGTGTCTAAAACGAGAACCCATATAAGGACATCTTCATATTTTATTAAAAATGTGAAGAATTTCTTCAGAATATTAAAAATAAAAAGTCTGAAACAAAAAAAATATAGGGTAGAAAAAGTAACTGGGGGAAAAACCCTGGAAAATGTCAAAGCCTGAAGAGCTTTGAACGACTGGATAGAAAAATACTTACAATGGGATAAATCAAAGATACAAAAATCAGCGCTTAAAGAGAAAACAAATCTGGAAAATATTGAAAATGAAAAACATTACTCTGGAAAAGATTAAAGATAGAAATACCTTCTGAGTAAGAAGTCAAAGGTCTAAAGTAGAGAGATCAAGGATATAGGAAAAGCAATTCTGGAAGAGGTTTAACAGACAAATGAAAAAATACCTACTCTGGAAGAAAAAAAAATATAGAAAAAACATCCCTGGAAGTAGCCAACTAATAGAAAAATCTACTATCATAGAAGTTTTTGAATGTGTTAAATGACACCTTTATGTCACAACTCGTACAAGCACCAACTAGAAAGGATGCTTGTCTGGATCTTGTCATAACAAACAATGTTGATCTTTTAACCAACATTCAAGTAGGGGAGCATTTGGGAAATAGTGATAACAATATGGTAAATTTTGAAATAAACTCAAAAAAGCAAAAGCAAGTGGGGTATACTAAAACATATAATTTAAAAAAAGCCAATTTCAATAAGATTAGGGCAGCTCTACAACATATCGACTGGCATAAACTCCTTAGTGAAAAAAACACTGAGGATAAATGGAAACTATTCAAACAAATATTAGAAAGGTACATTTCTCAGTATGTACCATTGGGTAATAAGTATAAAAGAAACAAATTAAAACCAATGTGGCTTAGTAGAGAAGTAAAACAAGAGATTAAAAATAAGAAAAGGGCATTTAAAGCATTTAAAGCAGACAAATCAAGGGCATCCTATTTAAGATATAAGGAAGCCAATAACGCTTGCAAAAAGGCAATTAAAGTGGCTAAACTAGAAAATGAGAAATTGATAGCTAAAGAATGCAAAACCAACCCCAAAAATGTTTTCAAGTACATCAATTCTAAAAAAACAAAAACTGAAAGTGTAGGTACACTTGAAACAGAGTTGGGTTTATTAGCTAATGAAGACCAGGAAAAAGCAGAAATTTTAAATAACTATTTTTCTTCAGTATATATTAATGAGGATCCTATGGCAAGAGATATGCAAATGATTTCTGCAAAAAACTTGCAAATAACTTGTGATTGGATAACTCGAGACAAGGTGCTACAGCTATTAAAAAAAATAATGTAAATAAAGCTCCGGGGCCTGACGGTATTCACCCATGAGTACTTAAGGAGCTAAGTGGGGAAATAAGTGAACCTCTGTATTTAATTTTTCAAGATTCTTTTGTTTCAGGTGTTGTACCGGAGGATTGGAGGAAGGCAGATGTTGTTCCTATGTTTAAAAAGGGTTCAAAATCCTTGCCTGGAAATTATAGACCTCTGAGCTTAACTTCTGTAACTGGGAAAATATTTGAAGGGCTATTAACCCCTTAAGGACCAAACTTCTAGAATAAAAGGGAATCATGACATGTCACACATGTCATGTGTCCTTAAGGGGTTAAGGGATAATATTCAGGAATTCATTGGGAAGAACTTTGTTATTAGCAATAATCAGCATGGTTTTATGAAACATAGGTCATGTCAAACTAACCTAATTGCATTCTACGAAGAAGTAAGTAGAAGTATAGATCAGGGTGTTGCAGTGGATGTGATCTACTTGGATTTTGCCAAGGCATTTGATATGGTTCCTCACAATAGGTTAGTCTTCAAACTAAAAGAAATTGGTCTAGATGAATATTCTTGTTCTTGGGTAGAACATTGGCTTAAGGATAGAGTACAAGGAGTTGTAATTAATGGTACATTTTCAGACTGGACAAAAGTGGTAAGTGGTGTCCCTCAGGGTTCTGTTTTGGGACCACTTCTATTTAACATATTTATAAATGATCTTGAAATAGGCATTGAAAGCCATGTATAAGTGTTTGCAGATGACACAAAACTTTGTAAAGTAATAAAATGTGAGCAGAATATTGCTTTGCTGCAGAGAGATTTGGATAGATTGGGGGACTGGGCACTAAAATGGCAGATTAAATTTAACATAGAGAAATGCAAAGTTATGCACTTCGGGGTTAAGAATGCACAAGCAACTTACACACTAAATAGTAGTGAATTAGGGATAACCACACACGAGAAGGATTTGGGAATTGTTATAGACAACAAATTAGGCAGCAATATGCAATGTCAATCTGCAGTTGCTAAGGCCAGTAAGATTTTGTCATGTATAAATAGGGGCATAAATTCTCGGGATGAAAATATAATTTTGCCTCTTTATAAATCGCTGGTAAGACCACACCTTGAATATGCTGTGCAATTTTGGGCTCCTGTTCTAAAGAAGGATATCATGGCACTGGAGAGGGTCCAGAGACGAGCTACAAAATTGATAAAAGGAATGGAGCATTTTAGTTATGAAGAAAGGTTAAAAAAATTAAATCTGTTTAGTTTGGAAAAACGGCGCCTGAGAGGGGATATGATAACTTTATACAAATATATTCGGGGCCAGTACAAACCTTTATCTGGAAATCTATTCATAAGCAGGGCTATACATAGGACACGAGGTCACACATTTAGGCTGGAAGAAAGGAGATTTCATCTAAGGCAAAGAAAAGGTTTTTTTACAGTAAGAACAATAAGGATATGGAATTCTCTGCCTGAAGAGGTGGTTTTGTCAGAGTCCATACAGATGTTTAAACTGAAATTGGATAAATACTTACAAAAACATAACATACAGGGATATAATTTCTAATTAGTGGGGTAATAGCTGCTTGATCCAAGGAGACATCTGACTGCTATTTTGGGGTCAAGAAGGAATTTTTTCCTAGTTTGTGGCAAAATTGGAAGCGCTTCAGACCAGGTTTTTTGCCTTCTTTTGGATCAACAGCAACAACATTTGTGAGGAAGGCTGAACTTGATGGACACAAGTCTCTTTTCAGCTATGTAACTATGTAACTATGTCAGTTGAATGTGTAAGAAATTCAAAGATCGGAAACTCTACCCTGGAAGATATCAGAGAGATGAAACACGTTCTTTTTTAATAAGCATCAATGTATCAGTTAAAACCTTTGACCACAAAAGCATTTGGGTCACAAGTTCTATTCCTGCAATATTCAACTCAACGTAAAATCCTTCTAATAAAATGAGTTTGAGTGAGTTGGGGAATAATAACATGTAACCACCAGGATAAAACAGGTAAGAAAATAATCTCAATATACTATTCCTTATTATAAGCTTTATTATATCATTATTGTTGGTAATATAGCGTCACAATATAAACACCATTCCAATTACAGATTTATGACGAGAGGAAGGTAAATTTGTTGAACTCCGCAGCCAGTCTGTTTTCACACAATACAAATTGTCGTAGTGCACCTGCTAAATGTGGCAGACACTGAGCGTTTGGAAAAAAGCAATGTTCTCCACTTGCAACATCCTCTGGCTGACGTAACATTTCCCACAGGAAATAACTAGCTGAACAAGTGGACATTATTCTCAGTGCATCTTTCAAGGGAACTGGGAAAAGAACAATAATAATGCAATGTGTATATAGTACATATATCCAGATGTTATAGCTGAATTACAAATCAAATACTAAAAGTTGACTTGAAAATCCAACTCATTAATGAAAGTAATTATTAAAAAGCAGGGGAATTTGAAATAAATGGATAGATAGATAGATAGATGGATATATGGGTGGGTGGTTGGATTGGTGGTTGGGTGGATGGATGGATGGATGAGTTGGTGGATAGATTGGTGGGTGGATAGGTGAGTGGGTGGGTGAATGGATCGATGTTTAGGTGCATAGTTGGATGGATGGATAGATAGGATATAGATAGCTGAATGGGTGTGCGGTGGATGGATTTATAGATAGATAGATAGATGTGTTGATGGATGGATAGATTGATGGATGGAGAGACTTTATGGTGAAGATTGTGTGATGGGAAAATAATGCCATTGAAGGGTTCTAATAACATCATAAATATACCATTAATTGTTGACTGCCCATGTCCTTTTCTATACTAGCAAAGGTCATAGTGCAAAACAGTGTTTGAAAACATATGTCAATTTAAAAAGCAAGTTTTAATCTTATTATGTGTTAGAATTGTAAAACATGTTCCCTATGTACGTTATAGAGGGAACCTGTGTTGGAATTCAAGTGCCAAATCAAAGACATTTCTAGTACCTGGAATGTGGAAAAATGTTTACCAGAAAGAATACATATTCATTATTTTATTGTTTTGATGTGTGTCCTGTCCTGGGAACAAACAGATGACATACGTAACTTTGGATGAGTAAGACCTAGGGGACAACAAATGGAAAGCCCATTTTGCCTGTGTTTAAAAATATTATTTACTTGAGAAAAAAAAAACTAATTCCTCATTAAGACATTCCTCCTTCTGAGACATTTTATATGTTTTTATTAATCTAGAACTGGTAACATTTTAGATAAACTGATGAATTTGAAGTCCAAAACTAGCCAGTTCTAAGGCAAACAGCAACTTCCTGGTAAAATGACACCCACAACAATAACCTTCTAGGTTACAACGTATATATGTTTCACAAGAGGAAGACCAGCTAATGGAGAAAGGATAACCTGCGTTTGTCACTTTCCTAGAAAATGTAGATGCTTTGTTACATAGCTGGCAAAGTTGCCCCACTGAAATACAATGAGATTTATGAGCAGATGTGTAACACGTTTGTTTGTTTGTTTGGTTTAACTCCATTTATATCTTGCAGGGTAGCACATCTTGAATTGGTTGTGGGTTTTTCTCTAGAGGCAATGATTTAGGGTATCACATTAGGTCTAGTGTTGAATGCTTTCTTCTTAATTTTTTACAGATTTTTTTTTTTTTAGAACCACAATGGATTCTGGAGAAAAATCCAACCTACAATTTTTTTTTTAAAATAATAATAATAATAATGATAGAATCAGAAAGCAACGCTTCATTAGGTCACCATCTAGAAATAGAATTTTATTTGGGAAATACGTCTACAGACACGGTCCAATCATGCAAGTTAGCAAAAAGGGTGTGGGGAAGGAAACCAGAGGAAGCGAAAGATTGACAAAGAAAAATACATTCCTCCTTAGAGTAGACGTTATGAGGCAGAGAATAGAAAGAAGAGTATTTGACAAAGACGTGATGTCTCCAAAATCGATTATGATATTAGCAGTCATAAAGTCTCTGATGCCATGAAAGTCTCTATTTGCAGGTGTATATGAAAGAGAGGAGAAATATTTATAATAAGGGAGTAATCTAAAATAATTAAAATAAATAATCTAAATATTCTAAAAAAAAATAAAAATTTACAAATACTGTAAAATGTGCTGTACCTGTTGGGGGAAAAAATAACGTAACCACAAAAAAATGAATAATCCACCCCCTCTTAAATTCAGGTTGTTTATCAAGAGCTTGATATATTATTGGCACATCTATCGTGTTCTAGCTTCGAACTTTGCACATGATTGGACAATTGCCACTGTGGGAGCTACGTCCAAGAATTTCAATGGAAATATGACACGGTTTACAAACACAGCATTGTCATGCCCCAAGTAAGTGCTGGCTAGGCACTCCAGTAAAATGTCAGCAGCTAACCACCACGTACATCTGTTAAACAAATAATGAGGTTGAAAACACGATTGTTAGAAAAGCATTTTGTCTATCTTTTTTTTTAGCTTAATGAAACTGTTGAAATATTCACTTGAAAAACGCTTATAATGACATGTTCATAGGAAATATGTCTACGAGCAAAGTAAAGTAATGCTAGTGAAAATAATGGTGTATTTATAAAAAATTTACACTTAATTTATCAAAGTGCTTGGAAGTCCCAGACTGTAATAGATTAGCTACCTGATAAGGAACACAAGTAATCAAAATATAGAATTTTTCCATGCTCACGTAACAAATAATAAGTATTCTATTAATTCATTTTTAACACGCAATTCCAAAAATTGCATATATGTTCTCATATGTCCGTGTGGCCTTCGGTATTTCGAAAAAATATCTAGACAGCTGAAGGTCAGGATACAAGAACATATACATAACATTAGCAGAGGCTATTGTAAGCATAGTGTCTCCCAACAATTTTTGGATTATCCCAACAACAACCTTGGCACACCAAGATCACTCGATATCTCCAAAAATGCTCCAGAACTGATGAACGCTGTCGGAGAAAGTCTCACTGTGCATCTGACTTTCTCCACTACAAATTTATGCTGAGCTCATACAGCTTGGCTCTTTCCTCAACAAAAGTTAATTACTTCAATACCCTCATAACCACACTCTCCCGCGAACCCAAACGACTATTTCGCACATTTAACTCTCTTCTTCACCCTGCTGTTCCTCCTCCACCTACTAACTTGACCACCTCAGACTTTGCAACTCACTTCACTGACAAGTTCTCTACAATCAGAGAAGAGATCTCTCATCTTTCTTCTTCCCCTTACAATACTTCCCCTAACTTCACTCCCTCTGCTGTTCTATGTTCATTCGCACCCGCTACATTGCTCTGCTCCAGTCCTCCCGCCCCACCACCTGCCCCCTAGATCCAATTCCCTCGCATCTCATCCATTCTCTGTCTTCTTCTCTTTCTCCACCTCTCACTAAAATTCTCAATCTCTCTCTCTCCTCTGGTATATTTCCATCGCCTTTCAAACATGCAACTGTATCTTGAATCTCAGTAAAAGTGAAATGAAATGGATTTTTGATTTGGACACACTGTCTCCTAAAGGTCTTTACATTGACCTAGAACTTAGTGCCTTAATCTGACAGGTTATATACATTTATGTTTTTAACAGTACATTTTTTAACTACAGTATATTTAAACTATTTCTTTTTCTTTGTTTATAGTTTTTGTTTTTATAATTGTTTTCCCTGTTATAGATTTATTTATCTTTCCTTTTGGGTTGTTTGAATTTTCATATGTGTGGTGATATTTTCAGATTACTAAACGTTGTATTCCCTATAGAGCTAACTTACATGTAGATGTTTCGATTTTCTATCAATATTACCCATTAAATATAGGATACCTATGGTGGACTGAGGGTACATAAAACTTCTGCCTGTGCTTCGTTGTGCTTTTATCCATCTATTTTATGTCATATTTATGGCTTTTTATTTTGTAGTACAATAAAGTGTGTTTTACCCTATTTCTGCAAAAAAAGAGATTCTGCTTTTCCTGAATATTGCAAGCTGATCATTTGTGGGGAGACTACTTGGTAATATTACCAAACAAAAGTGATCCAAGTCAGAGCTTGCTATATGAGGCTCTGGTAAATGTGAGTGGTTCTTTGTAGCACCTCTAATAGTGTATATATAATAACAATAATACACTATGTGGATTTCCTTATTATGTTTTTATACAGATCTGCAATTTATTTTTAACATAATTCAGAGAAGTATCTACACTAAGTTTGTATTTGTGGTATTGAACACTAGCCATTTTATTATTTATTTAGACATTTTTTACCAATTGGTTAATCGTTGGTATTGGGGGATTGTTGCTGTGTTTTAATTAGTGCCTCTCGCACCTTATTGCCTTTTAACTAGCTCCCAATGGCTCTGCCAAAGATGGCCAAAAATTCCTGAACCCAGGAGAGATAGCACATTATGATACATTCCTATGAGAAATTAAAAAAAAAAACCTTGGCTGCCATGGTTAAGGTTTCTGACCAAAAGTAACTACAGACACTCCTCACTTACTGACCGGGTTCCGTTCTTACAACCCCGGTCGTAAAACTAATTGGTATGTAAGTGAGGATGCGCTAGCATAGACCAGTTCACTAGTGCAGGTAATCCCGCATATCTATCTTCGAAGAAGCTTTCCCAAGTGCGAGCCGTTGTATAACAGGTAGGTCGTAAAGTGAGGACCACTTGTAGTTCAGAAAATAATAAAACTCACACAACAGCATAGGTTCCCAATCATGCCCTATAAATCACTAGATTTTGGGAATTAAAGTACAGCATCAGTCAAAGTTTACATGGTTTTATTAACTGAAATAATGTGGTTATGGTGCTATAATACAATTAAAACACAACCTTTATTACTACTATATAAAACTAGTGCAATTGTTTTACATCCAATAATAAGCCTATGTGCCATGAGTTAGTAAAAAACAATAGAAAATAATGAGAAAATAAACAAATAGTAATAAATAAAGATTCAATAACAAGGTAAATTGTTCTTTTAAGACCATCAGTAAATCACTGGTATACAACTATTCCGTCCATTCAAAGTAGTTGATTTAATTTGTCCACAGTAGGTGAGACTTAATAGAAATCCTAAAGGTGTCGATATAACTGATCTCTATAAAAAGAAAGTTAAAATGGTTTTTTTCTGTGTATCTTTTTTGAGGATTCCTTGGTCATGTGGTTGATCTTCCTGCGCACAGAGTTGTTTAACATTTAGCGTTAGGCAAGATTTTGTGACTTAAGTGAAAGAAAGGATATTTTCTAATGTAGACATATAGGTTTTCATACCTTTACAGAATTTAACATATCTCAAATCGCATGCGATGGATTTCAGCAGGGTAGGGTAAGCAATTTTCTTTGCACTCTTCAATTCAAATATTCGATTAGCGTCGATTTGTGCTACAAAATATGGCCAGGTGGGGACATGCCTGCAGAGAGTAAATGGAGAGGATCATTGTTATGGGAAGAAATCCTACATTCTAGCTGTGCCTAAGATCATGGGTCCTCAAACTCCGGCCCCCCAGATGTTGCTGAACTACAACTCCCATGATTCTCTGGCTATCTATGTAATTCAAAGACTCATGGGAGTTGTAGTTCAGCAACATCTGGGGGGCCGGAGTTTGAGGACCCATGCCTTGGATTAAGGAAACTCAGCCAGATTTTTTTTCCTATGACAAGTTTTGCATTTGGAATGTTAAAAGGGTTCTGTGTTATATTTGGCAATATGTTGTTTACATTGATGCTATGTTTTGTACTTTAAAAATGCATCTCATTTTAACTTTATTGCAAAAGGAAAAAAATAATGATATTATCTAGTGGTTCTTCTTTTGAAAAGCAACTTATGTCTGGTCAATCTAAATGTTTATTCGTTTCTAAGGAGTGAGTCCTCCTCTAATTTTTTTAAACCTCATCGTGAAACTTGACTGTCATCCCTCCAGAGTCTGACCTTGGCCAACTATTAACGTGTACAGCTGGGGAACATCAATCAGCATTCTGATAGTACAGGGAGGATGATATATTGATACAAGTAGTAAAGGTAAAATAATGCCTTCTTTTATAAAACATCACATTTAAAATAAGTACAAAAAATATATAACAATTTTAAGCCAATTTTTAAAAAAAACAAAACAAACAATTGTATTGTGTTGACAACAAAAATGTGTTTTTACAAAGTGAAAGCTTCTTTAAAATCCCATTTTGAATCACTCCTTACAAACTTCTGCCTGCCAATTATTTTGCTCATCTGCTTTTGTTCTTACACCAGGGGTGGTAACGTGTGCCTCTCCAGTTGCTGTTCTGAACTCCAATGTTCCTATAAGAGAAGAAACCTATACCGCTATAAGTACAGTAAAATTATAGCTTGACTGATCTCCAGCCATATACCACAGGCTAAAGATCAGGGAAAATGGAATTCAGTAACCAGAGAGCTGCAAAGACTCTCAACCTTGCTAGATCAAGAAGCTTTAGTAGACCTGAAGTTGGACTCATAAAAGCGAGAGGGAGAAGAAAAAGCATCTTGCTCTCCTGTTTGACTTCACTGCCTTTTCCCCTTCATATTTCTAAAATCTTTTCGTTGTTAAGACACAATGCTTTTTTTTTCCATTGTGAAAGCCAAAATTGTACAAACACTTGAATAACAGCCAGAGACAGAATTCACATTTGCTTCATCGCTGTTCATCCCATCTTTATAATTAATACCTTATTGAAAACATTCAATCCATGTCCTTTCTACTGTAGCTTTGGCAAACGGTGGTTCAGGTTATTATGTGTAACCAAGTCTACAACTGAAACTGGATTATATTTAATGTGTACATGTACAATGTTTTAAATTGTCCTAATTTACACAGACAATGTCATCTTTGTCCCAACTGAGTTCCCACAAGCTGTACAGTATTTTTTTTTTACAGACATTCAATCATATATATTTTATTAAATACTCAGCAAGTAACGACTGTACTAAGAGTGTCAAATCCAGACTTGACAGCTTTATACTGGGGCAACACCCCCTAACCCTGTTTTGTCTTTTGTTCTTTTCTTTGTTAACCTTTATGTTAAACCATTCTTTTAAAATCAGAAAACTGAATAAGGTTTTTTTTTTAGATTTCTCTTAATTTCTGAATCTGAAAAGGAGACCTGCGTGTCTCATGCCATAATTCATATTCTGTAAGCTGTGTGTTTTCGAATGTTTTACGTTAGCGTGTTTACTGATGACCTTCATTTCGAGACCCGTGAGTCTCAACACATGCCATTGGCCACTGCTATGTTAAATTGGAAATCAAATAAAAAGATATTTACAAAAAAAGCGTGTCGCATCCTACTATTCTGCATATTTTTTTAATAGCTAATCGCTGTAATCGTCGTGGCATCGATCAAAAATACTTGTTTTTGCAGGGGTACTGTATACCCATTGGGTTTATTTAGCAATCCAAAAATAATAGAATTGCAAAATCAGACAATGCATAATCAAATGGGTAAAGCATTTGATCTGATTTTTTTTTCCCAGTTTGGATATTTTGGCAAAAAGTTTGCAATTCCCTTCTCAATTTTTTTCAATCACCGGTTTAGTGATTGAACCCCTGCATTTCTATGTTATAATCAATCCCTTTAAGACGTTACATAAACATGTTAGCAGTTCTGCTCCTGGAAAAATGTGTCAGTCGCTTTACATGATGCATATTTAAGGCCAAGTGAGAAAGCTGATCTATACTGCATAATGGTCTATGTATGTGCGTATGTATATATAACCTTCAGAAATTCCTGCCTGACTGAATCCTCATTTGCCCCTTCTCCTTGTTGTCATATCATCTCACCACTTAAACCAATGACATACAAACAGCATAACATTATTAAAGCTGACCATGCATCAGAATCATATTCCAAAGTAAAGTTTCACCACATCCAGCAAACATTATATGAAACATTTTCAATATTCTTCACTATTTTTAACATATACATAAAATTAAGCTTAATAAAATATATATATAGCAAAATAGATAAATAAAAGTAATAAATAATCCTAGCCATAATCTTTATTTAGAACATGTGTGCCCGCAGCTGGTTTTGGACTGTAAGTCCCAGGATACGTCTCCAAACTTGGTTTGAACAGCCTGTTGTGAACAGTGCACACGATGAATGAGTCCATATATAAAGCAGATCCAACTGTATGTTGATATATATTTATGGCAGCAATAGTTTAACAATATTTGGGAAAGGTCTGATTTAGAGCCCATGAATTCTGTCGTTGGGACTATCAGTTAACTTTAAAAGTGTTAGCAAAATTCTGAGCTGTCGATCAGTTCAGATTTATAGCCTATGGCTTTTTAAAAGACCCCATGATCATGCGAGTTTTGTTAAATGAAAATGCATCATTCGTTGTAAGCTCCTTATATTTTTTTCAAAACACAATTATATTTGAACTCTAAATTAACTGGCACTTAGAACATTTTTTTTTCAAAAACAGTTTAAAAAACACTGATGACTGTTCAGTAAAATATATATTTAGAATTGTTCATTACAATTGAGAGATGTGTTTTTTCCAACAAAGATCCTAGTTTTATGTGTGTCACCAGGATCCTATGCCTAGTGCTCTATCCTTAGGCTCTCTGCAATATATCAATGTGATTAAAACCCTTGCACCTTACTTTTGCAAAGAACTATAGTTTACTCTAAACCCAACACTATAAAATAACTGCTGCAATGTATAAAGGAAAAAAGCAAACACATAACAATAGAGGAGCTGCAAAACCACACAATGGGTGTCCTGGATGAGGGTATAATTCACTTTCAAAAATAAAGATTTAAAACAATATTAAGCATTTTTTGGAAAAAAAAATGTTCTAACCTTAACAAGGCACACAATGCTGAAGGCATCTGCTGCTACATTATACCATAGGATTGATTTAGATAGTTGGAGAAATGTTTCACAGAACATACAAATTATAAAATAAAGCAAACTTGGGTTAGTGTTACTTTAAACACCACGTTGTTGTATAAAGCAACAAGCTTCTGGCAAAGGATTAATAGAAATCTTCAACAAACCTGCAGTATTCAGATTAGCAAAGCCAACTAACCACATAAATGAATAAACAGGAAGCGTCATGAAAGCTTGGAGTACGCAGAACATGGCACACGATCACAAAAGATCACATGTTGAACATACATACGTCTTCCATATGGAGTAACACAAGCTGAACGTTCTACAGATCAAAAGATAGCAATGTTCCATTTGTCATCCCTGCAAGCCATATGATCCAGTAAATGTCAGTTATAGTCCTATACCATTTTCATGATAATCCTACGAAAGGTGGAACTAGCTAACAAAAGTAATGCGAATGACTATGCACAGACACAGAACAATAATGTGAGTAGATGGAAAACCTGGCATTGTCATTTACAGTTAGCTCACGTTTCATTTACAGTTAGATCACGTTTTTACATAATCTGTAACTCCCATTAAAAACAGCTCCGTCTCTCCAGGGGTCTTGTCTGCTTCCTCTACCCCCGACCCCCAACTTTTATATCTTTGAATGTTTTGTTTGTTTTCTAGATAATAAAAAGTAAGGATTACCTTTCTTACATGAAAATTGGGAATCATTGGCAAAGGGCGGAGTTTAACCAAGATTCCACAGACGCAGAACACTCCCCATAGTGATGCATTGATTCCTATGGGAAAGCATTCTGATTGGCTGAGTCAGCAATTCTGATGATGTCAGCCAAGGAAGTGGGGTTGGGCCAGGGCCAGCGCCAGCGGACCCACGCAGAGCTAGAAATAAGGTATGTTTTCTTATTATTTAAGGGGGGCAGCAGGGAACTAGGAATCCTATATATGTTTTTTACACCATAGGGTTAGGTGTACACGTTTGTGTTCTTGACCCCATAATGTTCCTTTAAAGGATTAAACCGAGATTATTATTTATATCATATATTATAGACGGCAATAACATTTATATCTGTATTTGGCTGAAGGTGACAGGAACTTTATGCCAGTAGTTGGAAAAAATGCAGATTTTCTTTGTAATTTCATTAATATATGAGAACATAACAGCCACTATTGCAAACTAACAAGAACACTGTGACACTGCTCATAAGATGAATGACAATACATTGAAAAGGACACAGCCGAGATTCCGTGTGACCATTGTTTGCTGTAGCTAGCAGCCTTAACCCTTTCATAAAAAGAGATTAGAAAAATCCCATGTATTTAATATTTATTATACTGGTTTTGGCACGTTATGATTTATATCTGAAAACTTAACTTAAATATGAAATAATAAAAAATGTTAACAAAGCATACAAAGCTTAACACAGCTCTGTCACCTGCTGGGGTCTTTGTATATTCTTCAAATACAGTAAGTATTCAGTAAACATAGTAAAACTTAGGCGCACACAGCTAAATACAGATAAGTTCTTAATTAATGAGTGCAAAATAAAATGGGGTAAACCACTTCCCCTGGTGGTCAAGAGTAAAAACTACAATGTACAAAATCCTACAAAACAAATACAAAAAACATTGTATATGATGAAATGAAGCATACAAAAAACATATTTTGCCTTTCGGGTCTAATGGAGATACCCATCTCAAATGAAAAAAATATGGCCACATCACAAAGTTCCATAATTGCTTAGCCTATCTCTAATCTAATATTAATATCCAAATATTATTAAGTTTAAGACTAGTTTTAAAAACTGGACATAAACATTCCAATCTGCATGCCTCCTAGCATCGAATGATGTGTGTTTACCATAGGGAGCAGACTAGTAATAAGCCACTGGATCGGTTTCCCCCCACACGTTGTTTTTTTTTGCCCAAAAATGTGTGCCAGGCTGACAGGCAATCGCCCTGGACAACTTCATGGAGGGCAACCCATGCCCAGCACTATTAAAGCGATGTAATATGGGCTGAAAGCCCCGAGAGTAACTTGCAGCATGAACATATCTAATTATGCACTCTAGCCATGTATACTGGATAGAGATTTCTCTGGTGTCCCTAGAAGTGGTACACTGGAAATTAAACACGATTGCAGCTGATTGTAGTGGTTACAATGATAGGAATCTATGGGAACAGACCATTCGGTTTCCCCTATTTAGAACAATATAACGAGAAAGGTTCACTTTCGCAATATCCAAAAAGATTCTTAAAAGCCACAAGACAGAAACACGAGTTACCAAACCCCCCAACGTTTTCGTTATCAATAAAGGCAGCCAGTTGGTGCCGAAACGTTGGGGGGGTTAGTAACTCGTGTTTCTTTTTTTTTTTTTAATTCTTTATTTGTTCCAAAACAGGACATCTTATACATTGCATACATAACCATTTGTATACATTCTCAAAATAAGTACAAAAAAACTTCAATTTTCGGAATACAGCAGTATCCGCAAGACTGCACATTGAAACTGTGACCAATTACAAACTTCGTAAATGCGTCTAGCGGTTGTGCTCATAGTTGCCGAATTGTGGTTACTTCCCCATTTTTACATGCATCTCAAGACATCCCGTTTGGTGTTTTTATGTTAAAATAAAATAGAATAAAATATATAACTATCGTGCTATAGCTTGCACTAAGAGCCACCAGGGGCACATATGAATAATTGCGTATGCTTCTCCACCTTCTCCATGTACCCCTGATGTATAATCTTATAATTGTAAAGAACATAAAGGATGGTTCCAAGATCGGAATTATAAAAAGAAAAAGACGGCTTCCTCCGAGGAAAGAGAAAGATACAGGTATGTATGAATGTGGGAGAAAGGTGAGGGGTAAAGGGAGGGGGGGAGGCAAACTCCAGGGAGGCCTGACCGGTAAAAAGCACACGATGAGTTGTGTCACCTTATTGATTCCATTTATCCTGCCTAACTCATATTTGCCCATCCTCAAAAAGGGGTGAGTTTGGGGGAAGCGGTCCCTAACTTATCTTTACGTTGCCCTGAGTGATACTATTTCAGGTATATATGCTTGGTCCGGTCTGCAATTTTAGTCGATAACTGTACTATTGATCCAAGGGTCCCAAATCTTTTCAAATTTCTTTGTAGTCCCTCTGACCTGAGCTGTCAATTTGTCCATTAAAAAAGTATCCTTTATTTTATGTTTTATTATTGCTATCGTAGGAGTGTTTTTCTGTAGCCAACCCTGCGCTAGGGCTCGCCTTGCAGCTAGGTTTATTTTGTGGATAAGGTTTTGTTCCGTCCTTGTCCAATCATCTATGGATCTGAACAATAGGAACACCCACGGATCTAGTTTTACCTCCCTACCGAACACATCTCGCAGCAATGCTGCGATCTGCTTCCAATATGTCCACACCACTTGACATTCCCACCACATATGGATATATGTACCTTTCTGTCCGCACCCCCTCCAGCACAGGTCTGTCGGGTTCTTACGCATGCGGCACAGTGTCTCTGGAGTGGTATACCACCTAAACAAAGTTTTATATGATTGTTCTTGAACAGACACGCATACCGAGGATGTTGCAGCCGCCTCCCATATTTCCTGCCATTCAACCCCCTCTAGCACTTCATTCAAATCTGCTTCCCACTTATCAATGTACGTAATGTCTCCCCATTCCAGAGTGTGAGTACTCAGGTGAGCATATAAACAGGAGATTAGGCCGCTCAGGAATTGTTCCCTGGAACACATCCTTTCGAAAAACGTCAATGGCGTCTGCGCTGCTTTTTTTATCCTGGTATCTCGGGCATAATCTCTGAGCTGAAGGTAGCGAAAGTAGTCGAACAGTTTTAATGGGGTCTACTCGTTAGTGTCTCAAATGTGACAAAGGAGTCGTTGTCAAACAATTGGAATAGTCTCTGCAGCCCTGCAGCTTCGAGACTCCGAAAGTTCCTAGCCTGCATGCCCGGGAGAAAATCTCTATTTCTCAAGAACGGGGTCATTGGAGATAGGGTAGATGTCAGGCCATATTTGATGGCAGCTGTGTCCCAGACTCTGAGAGAGGCCTGTACCGCTTGACAAGGTGCTCTGTCCAGAGATATGAGTTCCTTAGGGATCTATATGAGGAATTGGGGGAGGTCTGGGCCCATTAAAGAGGACTCCAAGTCTACCCATCTCCTCTCTTCAGGGGGTGTATGCCATAGCGCTATTTGGGCCAATTGGGCAGCCACATAGTAATAGTACAGGTTCGGCAGCCCCAGTCCCCCCCTATTCTTAGCTCTATACAGCACATTTTGCGAGACCCTATGTTTCTTGTTCTGCCAGATAAACTTACCTATGGCCTGCTGTAGTGCTCCCAAGCTAGACTTAGTCAGGTGGATCGGGAGTGCTTGAAATAGGAATAATACCCGGGGCAACACATTCATTTTCACCGAATGTATTCTCCCGATCCACGAGATTGGTTTGTCTCCCCACGTCTCCATATCTCGTATTAATGTCCTGATAAGTGGTGTGTAATTCTGTTGGTGCAAAAGAGAGGGATCCGCCGTTAAGCAGATTCCCAAATATTTAATATGATCTTTCGCGATATGTATCTGATATGTCCTCACTATATGCACCGCGTCTGCATTGCTCATACCTATGGGGAGTGCACTCGATTTATGTAGGTTGACTCTGTATCCGGCCACTGTGCCATATTCTGTCAGTATCCTCGTCAGAGCAACCATAGACTCCAGTGGGTCCGTCAGCGACATCAGTATGTCGTGACCACTGTATGTACTAACCATGTCCAAAACCTTGAATTAAAAATTTTTACAAAAATGGAGAAACTGTGTCTACAACTACCTTGTCCCTTATGCACCACAATAAACAAAAGTGACCTTTGGGACATGACAATCTGTACATAGGGGTGCATTACTTTCCTTGGACTTGGTTAGCAAAAGCCCAAATTAATTTTATTCTGTGAAATGCTCAGGGTTAACCAACTGTAGTCAGGAAATACCATGATCTGATTGGCTACTTGCCAATCATTCTTTGAAGAGTTCATCTCCAGGAAACTACTGTTTTAAGAGGGTTTGCTATCTTCATAATGAAAAATATCTGTTATAATAAAATAACTACAGTAAAACCTAACTGTAACCAATGGGTTTAATATTGTCCTGCTGCAAAATGTGTTTTTTATTGTGTATTTTGTTTGTGTGCGACTTACAAAGGGATAAAACTCAGTGAAGTTTTCCTAGTAAAACACATTGCAAGTAAAATATATAGATGAATAGGTTTATGAAAAGAAATTGCAGGCCATTAAAGGATACAGAAAAACACCCGTCTTCTGGCGCTCTGATTACCTTAACCTCTGAAATATTTTTAAAAAAAAGTTATTGCACCCTATAGTCCGTTATGCCCTGATTATTATTGTGAAGTTATTTAAAGGCACCAGACTAACATTTCTTTTTTTCTCAAGAGATCTGTTCGTTTTTCTATGTGGGGAACATTTTTTATGATAGGCTCTCTTCTCTCCTCATGACAAGTTAATATCCCGATTTTTCTTCTGGGTAGAACATAGTTATTAAAATGTAATTCTTGTTCTCAATATACAATGTATATCATAATGGAACTTTGACGTAAAAATGAGACACCTCTTTTCATGAGAAACAATCTTACGATCAAAAAGAACACTTCTCGGCTGAGCTAAAAGCTTCATCCTGATAAACTCCCATTTCAGAATTTAAAAAGAATATCATAAATAACTTTTTTTTATAATAACCAGAAGATAAATGCAGAAAGTTTCTTGCATTAAATATTTACCACCTTTTCTTTAGGAAACACACTTTGGTATTTATTCACTAAACAGTGTATTGACCAAACTGAAAGCCTAATGATAACATCTTGGCTCAAACAGCTAGGCTGGGATTACAGCGAAGTGGGATTATTGTTCCAAATCGACATGTTTGTTGAAATTTTGCAGTTTCGGTATCATTTGCTACACATTTCAGGGGTATTGTCTTAAAAAACTTTAATGTTAGGACAAAATAACCAAACTGGAAAATGTTTTTAATTTGGCTATTTTCACCCAGAAAAAAACAAATCAGGTTTCATTGCTTTCTAATTCTTTTCTACCATTGCAAACCTACAAATATGTATTTAATGCTTTGTACCTTCCTATTCTCTAATAAAAGACATTCCTCTTCGATGAAAAACCCTGACAATTGTTATGAAAGAATTCTCTAAACAGTGAATTGTGAAGAGCACACATTAAACTTTCTCTTTACAGTTTATGTGAAATATATGCTGAAGGCCTGTGAGCTTGATAACGCTGAGTTAACCCTTTTATTTTTGCAAGTGCAATTTATTATGAAATGACAAACACATTTACATAATATTGCCTGAAACATATTTTGAAAATTGCATTCCTAACAGTACAGTGTCCTTCTGCCACCACGAACCCACCCTTTTCTCCCCAGCCATGAAAGGATTAAAAACCCCTTTTACTTACATGATTCTAGTGCTGAGGGAACTTTAGGCCACGGATTCAATGCTTTCCTATAAGGATTGTGAAGATGCTGGACATCCACATGCACAGCTTGAGGATGTACAGTCCTGCTTCACAGGGTAAAACTCTGTGAAACAGCAGGAGGCACCTCTAGTGGCTATATGGTAGACAGCCGCTAGAGATTGTCTTAACCCTGCAATGAGAACAATGCAGTTTCTCTAAAATTACAATGTTTTACATTGCAGGGTTAAGGGGACAAGGACAGTGTACCCAGATAACTACAATGAGATAACGTAGTCTGGGTGCCAATAGTATCCCATTAAGTCTGGGCCCACAGATAGCAAAATTGATTTACAAGTCACAAACATGTACTGTTAAACTAATAAACTCATTAATTATTCATTTCTACCAGCATAGATTTTGATTGCAATGCAAAGTCGCTTATACTGTGGCTCAAGGTGGTGAAGTTTAGTACACATGATGTTGAAATCCAGTAATCATTTGGTTTCCTTATTAACATCTAATCAAACAATTGAAGATCATATCTCACGTAGCAATCAGCTAAGTCAGTGGCTACCATACATCACTCAGAGCCCCTACTCACATCATTCATAGCCTATGCCACACACCACTCACAGCATCCCAATACAGCACACACTACCTCCTCACATCCAACACACAAAACAAGAAAGGAAGACAGAATGAATAGCTGTGAAAATGCTTGTACCAGGCCTTGTGCTGCAAGACGTAATGCCCTGGCACATTAGCTATCTGGGAACTACATTTCCCAAAATTCTTAGATATCCATTACTTTACAGATTTATGAAATGACAAAGGTCCTGTGCTGGGATTCTAAAAAAAAAAAAAGTTGTTTTTGTTTTAGTTTTTTTCTAAAACAGGAATTGTGAACAATTGCAGATATTAGACCAAAATAGCTGATATGGAAAACATAGTTGAGATTTACATTGCCTATTTTAAGCTATAATGTCCCTCTCCCATGGCACTTCACCACAAGTTCTGCTTTAGTGACTAGCACTGCCAGTATTTCTGCAAATCGCAGGGACTTGAGTTCAACACCTCGCCCTAATTTCTTTTAGATCACTAGATATCTGACAGTCACAAATCTAAGATTCCCATGTTGCCGTCCACTTTATTATTCCTGTAGACTGAATTTATATTCCAGTTTATTTCTGTACTCCTTATACTGCTCTATATATTCTTATTCATTTAACCCATCTGACATTACAATGATTAATATTATTGCTATAACCCAGTTAGGGTCCCATCTACCTGCTATACATCAACAAATTACACAAATAAACCACAACTACAATACAAGAGAGTTTTATATACAGAGCTGTAACAATATTTCAGAGGAATGTGTGGGATGCAAGCCATTATTATATTACACTATTAGCTGAAATCCTGTAAATCCACAGGAAATGTGTTTGACACATAGACATAACATTAATATGATGCAAACAATATAATGTTAGTATTTCCAGAACTACTTAAATTATGATAAATGTGTCCATTGTCTTCCTAAAGTTTCCTAAGGACCTGGTGTTAATGACATTTGGCTATTAAGACGTAACCTTGAACTGAAATGCACAAGAGCTTTTCAGAACTTTATTTCAGCTTCATAATAAATATTAACATTTCTCTGCCTGTTTCATGAAACCCAACCACTCGTATCTTCTAGGAATACAATTGATACAAAACTGGTCACTTGAATCTCTTATAACATGACTTTATACATAACGCACAGCCACTTAAATGCTCCAGAACATGACTGATACATAAAGTACAGCCACTTAAATCCTCTAAACCATGACTGATACATAAATTACATCAACCTGAATCTTGTAGAACATAACTGGCACCCACAAACATTTGTGTCCTCTAGAATATAACAACTGGCACTTAAAACCACTTGAATTCTCTATACTGATACATAAAACAAAGACACTCAAATAGTCTAAAACACAATGGACAAATAAACAATGACACGCAGTCTCAGTAGGATGACTTAATCATGATTTTGCTCATGTTTATGAGTATCCTCTAAAACACGAATGACATTAAACCAAAAAAAGCCACTTGAATCCTCTAGAACGCAACTGATACTTAAAACACAGCACCTGGTTTTCCAAAAAAACACACATAGAACGTGATTCTAAATCTAATTTACATGTATGCCATAAGGTGCATTTAAAGGGGCAAGGAATACTGAAGTTAGAAATGAATTGATTCAGAAATATATGGCACTTGAAGAGAAATCGTTTTGTCAGAAGCACCTTACATTATGAAACATTTAAAGTTTGGCTTAAGGGTCCTTACCTAGCTAAATTAGTGATGTCCCGAACGGTTCGCCGAACGGTTCGCCACAAACGGTTCGCCACGGACTCCAGTCAGCAGACACATTCCAGCCAATCAGCAGCAGACCCTCCCTCCCAGACCCTCCCACCTCCTGGACAGCTCACTAAGAATACAGCTTCAAAATGGATGCTGTCCAGGAGGTGGGAGGGTCTGGGAGGGAGGGTCTGCTGCTGATTGGCTGGAATGTGTCTGCTGACTGGAGTCCGCGGCGAACCGTTCGGGACATAACTAAGCTAAATGCTTTACTTTTGGTAGTTCATTAGAAAAGGGTTACGAATCAGTATTTTACACTTTAGCATACTACACTTAAATAAAGCTAACCATAACTGAGAAAAAAGCAATGCTACTAGTTATAAAACATATATATATATATATATGTATATTTCAAAGGGGATCTTTTTTGGACCACATTAAACCGCCATGACGAATTCAAAACTTTCACTATTTTTACATTTTCTCAGAGTCATCATGTGATGGCAATACAAAAATTACCGTCAACCACTAAATATAAAATATAAAACCACTTCATTTTGCTGCAATGGCAACAATAAACTTCCATGCAAAAAGACAAAAAGCAGAAAACAATTAGAACTTTGTGTTACTGATTAAATAGTGTGCGAGGAAAAATGACCACTGGAAATCAAAGCATGCGGTAGGGATGTTAAAGCGCCCGAAGTTGCTACAAGTGACAAATGCTGTATTCAGTATGATAAAGAAACTTTTCAAATAGCTTTGGTTGGATATATATTCAACCCTTTCAGATCCAGTGGTTCGTCAAGTGAATTTACCAGAAACAGGTCATATGTTATTCTGTCATTAAAGGGTTAACAAAACTGCAGAGCCACAAGACAGATGAAAATGATCTTTAAAGAATGGTGGGGTAAGCGAAAGCTAGGGGATGAAGTTTTACATTATGCCGTTTGAATCTGGATTTTGGCAGCTTTTGAATGCATGCTTTGTGCTAATCACAGAGTGTTTTTTTAAGGTAGTAATGCATTTAAATAATGAATGCAAACATTTTCGTAATACACAACAGATACGTTTCCAACCATATTTTTTTTTGTGTGTTATACAATCTTTTTCAGTACAAAACTTTAAAAAGTATATATTTAAGTTTTGTGTTTTTTCTCTTATGTTGCAAAACTTGGATATTATACAAATGCTGTTAGCAACCAGGGATAGGCAACCTTCGGCACTCCACATGTTGTGGACTACATCCCCCATAATGCTCTAACACCCATAATGCTAGCAAAGTACCATGGGAGGTGTAGTCCAAAACTTTTGGACTGACGAAGGTTGCCTATGCCTGAGACATTGCTATACTGATTTTTAGTACTTGCTATTTATATTTCTTTAAACTAATTTCAGAATGAACACAGCATGTTAAAATAAGGAATTCCAAATTAAACATTTCTAGAACTCATAGGGCACTACAAGCACCCACATCCATTTTGCTTGTTGCACAGTTTATGCAGGTAGATGTACATTTAAACTATTCAATAGTAGTAATGCAGCAACTTGAGGAGATACCCACTTACACCAACTGGTTTATAAAGTCACAAGAAAAACATGCATGAGTAATTAACTAAAGGAGATACTAAATATGTTTAAATCACTTTGAAGATAGCTATGTCTATGTTGAGCAGAGCTGCCCAACAGGTGGATTCCCAGATGTTGTAGATCTACAACTTCCATGATGCTTTGTCATTCTAAATGCATTCTAAAGGCATGCAAAGCATCATGGGAGTTGTAGTTCCACAACATTTGGGGATCTACCTGTTGGGCAGCCTTGGTGTAGAGTGTGGTGGTTTATGTTTTTGATGATGCATATGTCTTAAATGAACACTATAGTGTTAGGAATAAAAAGATCTAACTCTAAAGTGTTCATCTGCTTCTGCCCCCAACTCTCCATGCAGCAATCAAAGGGTCAAAATAAAATTAGCTTGGTGCTAGCTCTGTCTCCACCTCCTTCGACGTCAGCGCAAGGGGAACCTAATGCGTCACACGCATTAGGCCTTTCCCATAGGAAAGCATTGAATAAATGCTTTTCTAGCTGGATTTGCAACACACTGGAGGTCCTCGTACAAAGCATCAGGACGTGCAGCTTTGTTTCCAAGTTAAACCCTGTGAAAAGTCAAGAAGCACCTCTGGCTGTCTTAACCCTGCAATTTAAAACACTATAGTTTCTCAGCTGCAGTGTTAAGGGGGCAGGGGCACTGCACCTAGACCACTTCAATGAGATGAAATGGTCTGAGTGCCTATAATGTCCATTAAATTTGTTTCTTTTCAACCTCAAAAAATAGGAAACCCATCATTTGATTTTAATGTAATATGGAGATCAATTACATGTATTTTAAAAAGTACATTTGAGAAAACTTTGAATTGCATAGAGGTGGCTATACCTTTAAAAGGGTAATTTAACAGGAGTAGAAATATTCAGATGATGGTAAAGTTTAAGTTGGCGTCCTTGAAGATAAAATCCATAATTTTAAGAAGTTCAAGTTATTGCTGTCAACCAGAAAAAAATAAACTATAGACAGGCTGGATTCTGTGGGCTTCTCAAAGTGGTTAACTTTTAGAAGACAACCAGAAGGAACCAACTTGTTCTTCCAAAGTTGAAGAGAATGGAGTCATGATGGGTTAGCTCAGTTTTGAATAGGGATGTGCATGGGCAAACAATTTGGTTCAGTTCGGCACTTCCAAAATTCGGGACTTCGGCAATTTGGGATGGTTCGGGACTGCGGCAATTCGGGAATTTGGCACTTCAGGACTTTGGCAATTCCCTAAGCCTAACCCAAGCCCTAACCCCATCCCTAGCCCTAAGGTATTAAGTATTGAACTACACCCTAATGCTCTACAATGCATTGGATGTTGGTATAGATTCGATAGAGGTAATGATATTTTACCCCAAATTGAGGGCAGAACTAAATGGTCTAATCAGAATCATTACTAGAACATTATAGCTAAATGAGCTGATTTATTCTGAATAAAGAGAAGGAAGGTGAAAAGGCCGGGTCTTTATTTGTGCCTGAGTTCCTAAACAACATCTATTTTTTGTGAGATCAGGCAAAGCAGTATATTGTATCTTCTCATTTATTTATGTTAGATTTCTTAATGGAGCAGAGATAGGCCAGAATAAATAGATGCGTTTAGGCGGTATACTCATTTTCACAGCAAAGACTATGCCCAAAGGGAAATGTCAGAGTTATTCCATATGAAAAGTAATGTCTTCAGTGCATAGATCATATATAGAGGATATTGTCTCAATACATTTTCGAAAGAGTGGCTTTAAATAAATGGTAACATTGGAAGATTGAACCAGTCACATTATTGTTACATCCAATGTTACATTTGGTTTTGTAATTGTTATATTGGGTAGTACACAATGTGCCTATGAAGATGTCTCTCGTTAAAATATTTGAATTATTATTGTCTAACAAGACAAGCAAAAAAAACCCCCCTATCTAAGCACATTATGCTCCAGACAGCATTTTAGAAATGTTTGTTAAAAAAGTGCAATGCCAGGCCTATATAGCATGTTGCGTCAGCTGTTGCCCTCATGGATCTTCAGTCTAACAGTCCAAAGATAACTTGCCTAAGCTCACCCTTAATGCTGCTGTATGGCAATGAGTATGTGTAAGAAATAAATCTTAACATAATACTGCAGACACCATAACCACTACAGTGTCTGTAGTAATTATGGTATCAGGTGTGCCCAGGCACCATAATTGTGTAATAAAACCATTTTAGAATGGTTTGATATCTTACCTGGAGTCCACAAGGTGCCACTAGCTGCCAGAGCTAAGTTTGGATGTGCAGGTGTTATCTCATTAGCTGAGAGCGATCAGCTGATACTGTCAGCTAACGAGCTGTCCCTGCATTGCAGGACTTAGTTCAGGATAGCCAACAGAAGCTCCTAGCATAATGGAAGAGAAGAGGTGGGGAGCAATGTCAATCAGACCCCAGGTAATAAGTCAACCATTAGTAAATGGTATAACTCCTAACATTGGTGGGGACTGGTACCCTCCTGGTACCATAGCCACTAAAGAGTACTGTAGTGATTAAGGTGCTTTGAATGTTTCCTAAATAATGCAAAAAGAGTCCTCAAAGAACCTCTGCCTGGCTACTCCTGTATTACTAAAGGTGTGTCACTCTGTTAAGAATATAATCTATATTGCTGAATGGCTCCCCTGTGCTTCCCCACCCTTTAGGGTTCTATGAGGACTGTGCTGAGAACCAGTATTGAAAGATGTTAATGATTAAGCAATAATGACAATAAGTGATCCTTTCAAAGCAAGCATAAGTTTATAAAATCACAGTCATTCTTTTACTTCAAAAGCAGATTATCCTGTGCAGCTCATAAAATTGGACTACTTGCATAGCAACCAAGAAACCATCCATTGTTTACTCAGATAAATTAAGCATGTTTTTGCTTGCGATTTTTTACCATGTGCTTAATTTTACAGGGTGCTGTCTGAATAAAAATGGCAACACGAAGACAAAAGCTGAAAGCTGAAATATCCTGGTGGGGGCTGTCTATGATTACACATCAGTCAGTTCACTGTGTCATTAACTGTTAGATATTAAATGGTGAAACAAATTGTAGCACTCAGACGCACACAGATACTCATAAAATGAGGCCCTGTAAACAATACTGCAATGTTACTGGGGACATAGCTTAAAGGGTTAGTACTATATATACATACATACATACATACATATATATATATATGTTGTGGGGGGAAAACACGAGGAGTTATGAAAATATGATAATATATCATTAGAAGGTCTTTAGAACACAGAGATGGCATTATTTCCTCATAACACGCGATTCTCCATGTATATCTTTTACATGATAATTTAGTGCTGTGAAAAGGTTAATGCTTGGCGATAGTGTATGAGTTAATGCTTAGTGATAGTATAGTGAAAGGGGTTAATACTTAGTGATGATGTAGTGAAGGGGTATACGTTCAGTGATAGTGAAGACTAGAGTAGGGGTTAAGGGGGGCTTTACTGTAAGATTAGTGGGAATTACAGTTACCGAACAACAACTTTCATTATAATGGAGGCTGTTGCCACAAATATTCACTATTAATCAGGTTTTGCCCAATATTAGGAGTCCCCTAACTCCATAGAGGTCATTCGTTTATTATTCTCCGATTATTACGGGAAATAATTCCAAAAATGATGTCGCATCCATGCAGTGTGATGTTCTAAAATATAAACTGCCTGTTGAAAATAATAAGCAAATCATGCAATATATATTATAAGTACACCCTCACCCGTTCAAGACATTCAAAGAAAAGCATAAAAGTGACCACATATAAAGAGCTTTAAGTATTTCATGAATAAAGGTAGTTTGGGGATTGTTGTGCCCCTTTTCCCCCTATGATTTTTCACTGTTATCTTGTATGTCAAATTGCTGCACCCCATTTAAATATGGTGTATTGAAACAGCTGTAAACTGAACAATCAATAAAAGGCATTATTCAAATTTTTATATTAATTTTGGTGTAGATAAGAATGGCCATAAAGCATTAAGACCAGCCATGTGTCAATCAGACTAGGTGCCAAACAACAGTTACTCTGCCCATTTTATGCCTTCATTTGACCAATCTCTTCCACATTTAGTACTAGGTTGACCAGAACCTCCAAATTCCTGTATTGATTAAAAAAGTTATGGGGAGATCTTCTAGTTGCTGGCCCACCAATGATGTGGTCATCACCTATGAGATAAGATCCACTGGAAACATGAAAAAATATTCAGACGCAGATGGTTAAAAAAAAAAAAAAAGAAAGAAATAAGATATGGAAGAAGGAAGTGTGCCAATACTAATATGAAAGGAAGCAATGCCTGAATACATACTAAGACAAAACAATGTGGTTTTTATTATAAAGAACAAGTATAACGTTTCATATTGAACAACAAAACAAAACTCTAGGCACTGCTACCACATCCTGATTAACTTTATGATAAAGATATATAAGGTACAGTAACACTGAACAGAAGAGAATCCTGTAGCGTTGAGTGGTGGATGGGGCAGCATTCATGTCCTACTGGACAGAAAAGGAGGTGTCGGAGTTCCAAATGAGTTTCGTTCAGGTATTGGTCACAGTAGCATCACTGCTGGCCAAGCAATTAGTCCACTACAGAGATGGCTGATAAACAGTGGAATGATAATAATGGTGTAAAACAAACTCAATTATGAATGACAGTGGGCTCCAGCAGCAATGCTCTATATATCATACAGAAAATGAAATTCAATGCAAACTATCCATTTAATATTTTAGTGGATACATATATGGAAAATGTTAAATACACAGGGCTGCACTAGCATTATTGATCCCCCACAGCATGCATATTTTAAGGTAAAATTAAAGAGAAAGTATAGGTAATTTTATTAAAAAATTACTTTCTAACTCATGTCATCTAACGGATGACACAAATCGCTATAGATTAATGTAATGTTATTATAACCTGTAAATGCATTTTTAAACACTGGTGAGGCTCCACGACTGCTCTATAAACATCTGCAATAACAATCTAGACTAAAGCCTTTCTTATTATTTGCTTAACAATGAAGTTTCATACTTGGAAAAAAATGTATCCTTGAACAAATAGGGTTTCAATGTCATCAAAATACAGCGGGCATTAATAAATGGATTGATCACTAAGTATATGATTAATTAGGTCATTAGAATTGTTTTGTAGCAATCAGACACTTATTTGGCTCATTAAGAAGATTTCCTCTTTCACACACTCATTTTCCTGCCGATTAGGACTTCCTGATAAGCATTCCTCTTATCTGACATAAGACGATCACTTGTCGGGAAAAATGAATATATATATATACATACATACATGCATGCATACATTTTCAGCATATTAAATAGCCTCCCTAATTCCACCGGTCGGGTTAAACGTCTTTTGATAAATGTATCCGTGTTGGTGCAGTAATTGAAAACATACTTGGATAATAGAATATAGCTATAAATCAGAAGGCATGACAACCGGACATTCTTTACTATGTGCTGCAGTTTAGTCAGTAATGTTTAAGTGCATCTCAAATGTGAACTGTCTTAATCCACCCATTTAGGCAAGAGAAGTACGAGAAAAGGATAACTCTGCAGGAAAAAAGATAGAGAGAGAAAGTGAAGCTCAAATGGCAGAGTAGTGCAATAGCAGACACAAGTTAGAAAAAAAAAGAGGGAAGAAATAGATGATAGAAAAAAATCATAGGTGCTAGAAAGGACAAGAGAGGGAACAGAGAGATCCAAATAGATAGACAGATAGATACAGAAAAGTGTAGAAGGCGGGGGCCGGGGCCTGACGACCATTCTGAGACGTCGTATTGATCCGGAGCTCCGGACCAAAAGCCGACTTTAACTCTTATTCTTGTTGTTTTACTGGGCTAACCTGTCTTATTGCTTGTTGTATACCCCAGAGCTCCCGCAGGAGCATAATCGATGAACCACAGACTCTCCTGGCACAGCTGTAGTGGCTGGACTGTTTTGCGTCCTAGGTGGTGGCTTGGGTGCGGGAGAGGTGGCTGATCTCTCCACCCATTGTTTTCCTAATGATCTTTTTGCTCCAACTGTTGTGTCAGTGCAAACCTGTCTGTTTAACCAAATAAAAAAAAGAATAAAAGAAAAAAAAGTGTAGAAAGCATACGAGAGGAGAACGATTCTGCATTATAATTGGAAAAACAGTATTGAGTGGGGTATGGTGGAAGAAAAGGGGATTACATAATGAGATGAGAGTACAGAACAATAGGAAAAGTAAAAAAGGGAATTAATGAGAGGTTGTAGGATCCATAAAAATATTCTTGATATGACCTTTTTTTTCTTTATCTCCTTACCACCTCATTGTCTACATGTTAAAGTGGATAGGTATTTTTGTAATGTTGTCATTTTCCAAATCCCCCCTTAGTTTGCTCTTCCTTTTAAAAAAACAACAACAAAAAAGAACTGGAGGGACTGGCAAGCCGTTAGTAAAGAGGTATGTAAAGCTGATCACCAGGTCCGAAAATGCCTGGTTCCATCAGGGAGCACAGATGCACAAACGCTTGGATCCGTGATATGACAGGTCATCTTTAAACAGTAGTCATGACAATGGCAAAGAATTCACCAAGATTGTGGCAACAACTAAGTTTCAGGGGAACACAATTGTGTAACTACCCTACGTCTGTTGTTCAATTCGAAAACAAACACAACTCTAAATTCTATCCAGATCTCATCTTTGGAATATTTAATGTAAATGGAAAATTGGAAGAGAAAGAATGGGAGCAGTGTTGAGCTCCTTGAATATACCAGGGTAGTTGGCTGTTACCTGCACTGTTATGTGGAACAGCAGGCCTGTGTATAGGCTTTTGTTTAAAAGCAGAACTGGAGGATGGTACAATGTAATGTTTTCAGTACAGAGCTCGATGCCGAGGGCCAGGAAAAGATGCAAGATCACGATTGTGACTTTTCTTGGCACTGTCACTGCAGATGATCTCCTGCCAGAAAATTAACCACACAGACAACCGTGCCTCAAATCCTCTGAATAGTACTGGCTCTGGGGAGTTTGGTATTACTGGTTTTAATATTTTTATACATACATATATAAACACACACACACATAAATATATGTAGCCATCCATAACAAAGATACATTATTCATATAAATAACTGAATATTGGAAAATGTTTAAGGGTATAGAATATACATAGAATTAATAATTATTTCTTTGTGTCTGTGTGTGTTTATACCATAACTCGACAAATCCCAGGCCGCAGGAGGAGCGTGGAGGCGGCACGCAAGGGAGCAGTAATCTTCCAACAGTTCCTCTCTGCTCCCTCGCGCTATTTAGTAATGCCGGGAGACAGAATATGATGTCACTTCAGCCCCGGCATCATTATAGAGAGTGCGCAGGGAAACAGAGAGGAATTGCACGAAGATTAGAGAGCAGCCCCACTGGTCCCCAGAGAAAGATCCACTCAGCTCTCCCAAAGGTAAGGAGGCTGGGTAGATTTCAATAAAAATAGCAATTAGTAAGTGTGTGAGAAAATGTGTGTGTCTGTCAGTGTCTGTCTGTGCGTGAGTGTCTGTCAGTGTGTGTCTCAGATTGTGTCTCAGTCAGTATGTATATGTCTGTCAGAGTGTGTGTGTATCTGTAAGAATGTGTGTGTCTGTCAGTGTATGTGTGTGCGTGAGTGTTTGTCAGTGTGTGTGTGTGTCTGTATGTATGTGCCTCAGAGTGTGTGTCTCAGTCAGTATGTGTGTGTGTGTCTGTCAGAGTGTATGTATGTTTGTCTGTCAGATTGTGTGTATTTCTGTCAGAGTGTGTGTGTGTCTCAGTCAGAGAGTGTGTGCTTGTCTGTGTATGTCTGTCAGAGTGGGTGTGTCTGTTTAGGTGCCTGCCCCCTCTGATCGCAGGAGAAAGGTGTTTTTACTCACCGTTTTTTCCCCAAGCCATGCCAGTTTCACCACGGCTGGTCCTGCCTCTGAAAAGCCAGTGTTTACATTGAAAAAGCCTGCAAGGACAGGCTACATAAACTAAAACTAACAATTTAAGAATTGGATTTAAATGTTTAAAACATTTTTTTTTTTTTTAAATGGCTCCTAAATTTTTTAGCTGGCTCCTAGATTCCAAACAAATTTGTCAAGCCCTGGTTTATACAGTTGTAATCAAAATGATTAAGCCCCCATTGATAATTAGGTTGAATTTCAGTTGAATTTGGGGAAACCACTTGAAGCATTTGTTATGTTGAGCTATTTTGATTGCTTGTCTTTGCTTTGTTCTTTGCAAACAGCTTGAAAGTCTGTAAATTGTAACAAAAACCCTGATTTTCAATGGGGTTGAATAATTTTGATTACAACTATATGTATATATGCATTAATTGAATATGCTTTTGGGAAAGCCTCCATGCAATGGGCCTGGGCTTTAGTGAATGTCTGTTAGACATACCCAAACTTCAACATGCTGCAAATGCTTATCAAAGGGAACTGACACATGTATTTAATAAGGTATATAAGTTATTTTACTGTAATGAGGAATAGCAATAAAGGTAACACACTAAATTACAGAGGTGTCATATTTTACTTATTACATGCAGGCACGTCCACTTGTCTTATTATTACATTATTTTACATTGAGTTTCTCTTTAAAAATATATATATATCTACTATAATGATCTGTGTATTTAATCCAATTGTCCAAAGATAAAACATCTCAAAATATGCATATTTTATCACCAAATTCTCTGACATTACTAGTAGAAAAATGTAAATAATAAAGTATGAAAAATGCTGGCTAATAAAAACCATCCTCTAACTGTTAAACATGAGAAAAAAGAATATGCAGCAGTAAGTCTTGGTTAGTAACTGAATAAACATAAGAGAAGTTTTTAATGTATAATATAATTTTTGTACTCTTGTTAGCCAAACTCCCATTTCTGTTGCACTCACTATGGGATTGCCATTAGGTTAGAATGGCATTCCATACTGGGCGATGTATGGTAAACCTCGAAAGAAATACATGTGAACATCACAGCTCTGCTCATTCCACAGCCAAGCCCTGACCCACCCTACCATGGCATTATGTCTCTGCTCGGTGGCAGACGAGATATATAGAAAGGTAGGACAACCATTGCGCTAGTCAAACAGTAAGATTGAGTTGCCATAGATAAAGGATTGTCCTGAAAGATTGAGCAGATAATAGCATGTCACTATATCATTTAAATGTTGGTGGAGAAAGAAAATGAAAGATCGCAAGTTTGGGTCTGGCTCACCCAAATTACTAAAACAAAACAATTAAAGACTGACTGAATTGTTTCCCCAATATATGAAATTTCCAAAGAATAAATTTGTTTATAGTACTGTGATTTTTTTAAATACATACATAGCGTACAGCGCTACAGAATTTAATGGCGCTATATAAATAATAAAATAATAATAAAAATAATAACATATCTTAAAGCTTTGAGTAACTGAATATTTCTGTGCTGGATAATATATTTTCAATAGCTAGCTGGTGGTTGGCTTGAAAACAATTGAATTCTTTTAAATTGGGTTGTTGTTTTTTTTAAATTGAATTTTGAAAGACAAAGAGCTGTTTAATATAGAGCAAGAAACAAAGCAACGCTCTCATAAAAAAACCCTGTGGGAAACAAACGATAGAATGACAAAGCATTCACTAAGTATTACCAAGAAATTCCGTACTATCCACTATTACAACTCCCATGCTCCTTGGTTGGCCAGTGGCCACGTGATTGTGCTACAACAGTAAATTGAAGGCTTCTGGCTGCCCTATGAAACCCTAGAGTCCATAATGCTGGCAAAGAATCAAGGTAGATGTAGACCAAAACATCTGGAGTGCTGCAGGTTGCCAACCCCTGCCCTAGACCAACTGGGATTTGGTCCATTATTAATCTATTCAAGTTTTAGAGCCACTTTTATATATTTATCATATATGCAAGATAAAGAAATAAAATATGCACGGACACTATGCAAACTCAACTAACTCAATTCCTCATGTGTAATCAAAATAAAATACATGTACCGTTATCCATACGGTCTATGTTTGTTCCAAATGTATATACTGGCAGTTCAAAAATAAGGTATAACGTTTTTATGTGTTTTTGATTATTATATTTATATCAGTACATACCTGAAATTTACTTATGTTATGGTGTTTATCTGTTTGGTCACAATCCAAAATTCACAATCACACAATGATTTTAGGGAACCCCCAGGAGTAGACAGAGTAAATCTACCTCCCCAATAACTCCGTAAACCAGTATATGCCATAAAAAGAGGTATTTACAAATATATATGTGTGACGGAACGCTGGCACTCCGACTGAGTACCTCCGCCATTCGATGCGCCTAGTGTTCGCTGAGGACTCCAAGCACTCCAACCGACACCATCAGCACTGCAGACCCCACTTCCAGCGATACAGCTGCGCCGGGGTCTCGCCGTCTCCACCCACCCAGGATCCACGACCAGGATCCATCTCCCAGTGGGTGAACCTCTCCTAAATCCAGAGAGCGTAGCAGGAACAAATCAAGCTATTGCGAGAGCTTACTCTGGGGAGTAAGTGATTATAGCAATCCCCAGAGTGTAGGTATCCCTTCCCCCAAACATGAGCCAAGGCTTCAAGAAAGGTACAAGATGATCTGGTTTTAATGACCACACAGTGGCGTTTATGCAAGTCCCCATGCAAGGGGACATCCCACAGGGTGGGACCCAGTATAACCAATCACAGACCATACTAACAAAACACTCCCACAGTGACATCACAAACCCTCCTCTCTATCCTGGAGATAATTGGGAAGTAATCAAATTATCTCCCAGGACAGAGGCAAGACTCCATTAACCACATGGTTACAAAAAGACATAAAATTACACAATGTTACAATATGCATTACGCGTATGTATTACAATATCCAATATACATATACAGACAAGTAAAAAAAATATTAAAAAATTTGAATAATGCTCTAGAAAGGTCCTCAGTCGAAATGATGAACATTGTCATAGCTTGCAGGAGTGAAGCTTTGATGTATTACAATAGTAGACTATATCACTAATAACATTTTATAACAAACAATGCTGACAATTTATCTTTAACAACGCAGCATCGATATCTGGAAATATATTTCTATCTGTGGTTATATCATTAATGGAAAGTAATACAGACTACTGCAACATAAATAATGAATTACATGGACATAGCTCAAAAATGCCTTTTCACATGGTATGTTTACTTCACAGGTAGCAGAACCAGGTGTTACTTGAATATTGAGGAATCTAGTTAATATATTACAGATTTGTCACAAGGGCACAATGGCAGAAACATTTTAATGGCAGAGAACAGTTTAGCCACCTGGTTCGATAACATGAAATTTAGTTAGAAATCTGAGACTACCCTGTTTAGCTTTGTACTGAATTCAAAAACATTTCAATCAACACAGTGCTTGAAAAGCTGTGGGTCTTGGAAATAGTATTTGTCTAAGGTTTTGCAATTTTTAAACTCTGTAAATATAATATCCATATAGCTAGATATGATTGTATCTTCAGGATCGAAAGTAATAAAGAACAGCTTTTTTTACAGGGTTATTCACTAAATTAGGAAATAACTATTATAAATGTTAGGCTACAGCAACCAAAATGTAATAATTCACCATCTCCAATTTATAATTCCTGATCATTTTATTTTCATGAATAACTCTGAACATTACATTATTTTGTTTAGTGTGTATGCATTCAACTTAACTTGGAAGTTCTTGGTAAAGTAATTATTGTTCGAAAAATTAACATTTGAGACCCCCTCCACCCCCGCATGATTGGTAAATCGATTCCTCTTCATCGACCCATCACATAAACCAACAAAATATACAAAGTTTAAACACACATTTTTGGAAGATACACTGTTATCATTTCATTTATTGTTTACAATGAAGATCTTTGTGAATACTGACACCAGGCATCAACGAAGAAATGTTCTCCAACCACTTTGATGCACAAGGTAAATGCAGTAAATTGATTGGGTATCTGGCTCATCTGAAGGCTTGGTACTATGTCACAAGACCTATAAAGAACAGCACATGGGGATGCTTGGGTATTTTGGTACAATGGAGAATTCTGGGTGCATGGAGCTGCAGCGAAACCAGATTGCTGTTAATTAAAACAGGTTTTCCCCTTTGATGTACAGATAACACCATGAGATGGAATGAAACAGATAACTGGACAGAGTGTTACAGTAAGAAGATGTACAAATCTGGAGATACACCTTGTAAAAGCCCTACCTCCATTTTACAGCTAAATCTAGGAAGTTGCTCCATAGCCTTGTTGGGGCATATAAGCACACTGCACCCTTAAATGAATGATTTTGTAAACTAAGGCTAAATGATTAGGGTCAAGTATCCTATGTTACGGCTACCCTACACAAGTTACAAGTATAGGTCAGGATCAAGTAGACAGAAAGGACATATTACCAGGCATTAGAACATGGCCAAGTTTAATGTAAAAATGAAAGAAAGCGTAAACGTAAAACAAGTCAAGATCAAGATACCAGAAATACGGAAAAACAATTTATAATTAGCCAAGTCAGGATTACAGAATCAGTATAGCAAGCCAAAATCGAAAAATCAGGGAACAATATAACACGCTTTACGAGGCATTGATAGGAAACCATGACAGGGTAAGGAAAAATAGAGCGAAAACATTATTTAAACCCTATGATGTATACTGATTGGTCCAGGCCACCCGTGACCCCAAAATGTGCTGGAACGGGGTCGCAGTGATCACGTGGCACTATAGTTTAGAATATGTTTCCTAAAATATTCTTCTGATGGAAAAGCTATGTGTAAAACAGTAGGTCATTGCTAGCAGAATCTGCAGAAATATGATGCACCTCTCAGTTTTAATATCTGCTAAATTAATGCCCAATTTGTTTAATTATTTTCTTCTCTAAGTTGATGTATTTGGGTTATGCCTCTCCTGTGGAAATTTGGCTAAAAAGAATGGATAAATTATCCCTGATTCCACTTATTTCTACATTTTTCAGACATCATAAAATGTTACGTGGTTTATGATGGCTTTCATTTCCCTTAACCCAATATCACTATTTTGTATCTTTTATATTGCATGATTCTTTTATTGATGCTTTTACCATTGCAGACACACATCTAACAGACACACATTTAATGTGCTACCATGGTTTTCATCTGCCTGTCAATGCCAACACTAATTTTTAATTATATGTCAGGAGAAGTATCGGGGAGAATGGGTCATTTTTTTCTAATTGTGCAATAAAGGGAATGAAGTTTTATTTAAAATCTATCCAGTCATCCATCCATCTAACTTTCCATCCATCCATTCGGCCCTCTGTTCATCCATCCACCTATGCATGCATGCATCCATCCATCCATCTATCAATCCCTGTATATTCATATAGCATTTAAAACTATCAGTGTTATTCAGTAAAGTGAGAATTATTTGATAGGCTAGGAAACCATTTTATTGGATTAGTTATGTTTTCATAGACAAGCTTGGACTAGGGAGGATGCAACTCTTGAATGCTTGTCTATAAATCCAAAATTAGGCCAATAAAGTATGTATCATTATATGCTACAATAATTATGTGTATACTCTATCTCGCGCTCTCTCATTCTCTTAGAGAAATGATTTAATCCAATTTAAAATAAAACTGTTTTACAAGATGACACGATTATCCATTATTCTGGATTTTTTGCAAACTACAGCTGTTCTAAGCAACTGAGCTAATCAAGAAAGGCACCATATCCTAAGTAATGAGCAACGGTTGTTATAGTGCTTGGCACGCCCCATCAACACTATAGTTGGGACAAAAGTCAGTCTCTTTAAAAATTGAGGTCATTTATATCATACATAGATTTGATATAAATTGAAAAAAAAAAAACAGCCCTTGCCTTACCTAAGTGTTTGTGGAGAAATACACTACGAAGTCCGAAACACAAAGCCTGCATCTACTTATTTGCATGTCATACTCTGGGAGCGTTGTGGAAACATGATTTTAATTTCTATGCCTGAGAAGGACCTCTCAAAGTCCAAACTGAATTACGCACATGATGCATAACAGTAATTTTTTGTATATGTGTGTGGGGAGTTGTATTGTGCTAAGCCTTGCCAATCTTTTTGTGATTCATTGCACATTTTAATCTGAGACAACTATTTTTATAAATAACGCAAATCTTAAATTTGCACAAAGTTTTTTTAGCATTTTTTTTATTTGAAAGCAACATTTCACAGGGGACTTTTTTGTAAATGGCTCTCTATATCTTAACAAAATGTCCTAATATAAAGGTTCTTTGCATTTCTGGACAAGAACTCAAGTGATGATGAACGTGATTTTATCCATTCTTAGATTGTAAAGTTATGCCTGTTGGTAATTCGCCAGTTGCAGTGTAATATATAATTACTAAAAACTCTACAAAATGCCTTAATTGCACAAGGGATCGACCGATATTGATTTTTTAGAGCCGATACCGATACCGATAATCTGCGAACTTTCAGGCCGATAGCCGATATCTTGCCGATATTCTGTACATTTACTATTTTGAATAAACTAATTCGAAAGGTAAATGCACAAAATATACATGCCACATGTAGTGGATGAAGTGTTTTTAGACAGGGGAACTGTGTGTGTAGTGGATGCAGAGTGTGTGTGTAGTGTGTGTGTATAATGAATGTAGTGTGTATATAATGCAGTGTGTGTAGTGTGTATATAATGCAGTGTGTTTATGTATTGTGTGTGTATAATGCAGTGTGTTTTTGTGTGTGTGTTTGTGCAGTGTGTATGTAATGCAGTGTGTATGTAATGCAGTGTGTATGTAAAGTGTGTTTGTGTAGTGTGTGTGTGTAGTGTGTATGTAATGCAGTGTGTGTGTGTAGTGTGTATGTAATGCAGTGTGTGTGTATGTAATGCAGTGTGTGTGCAGTGTAGTGTGTGCAGTGTGTGTGTCTGTAATGCAGTATGTGTGCAGTGTGTGTTTGTGTAGTGTGTGTTTGTGGTGTGTGTGTATGTAATGCAGTGTGTGTGTGTATGTAATGCAGTGTGTGTGTGTATGTAATGCAGTGTGTGTGTGTGTCTGTGTAGTGTGTGTATGTAATGCAGTGTGTGTGTCTGTGTAGTGTGTGTATGTAATGCAGTGTGTGTGTCTTTGTAGTGTGTATGTAATGCAGTGTGTGTGCAGTGTGTGTGTGTGTGAGTGTGTGTGTGTAGTGATTTGTGTAATTTTTTATTTTAATATTTTTTTAATATTTAAATGTTTTTTTGTTTAGTCCCCCCCAGTGTGTGTTTGTGTAGAGTGTGTTTGTGTCTGTGTAGTGTGTATGTAATGCAGTATGTGTGCAGTGTGTGTTTGGGTGTGTGTGTAGTGATGTAATTTGTGTAATTTTTTATTTTAATTTTTTTTTAATATTTAAAAATGTTTTTATTTTTTGTTTAGTCCCCCCTCCCTGCTTCTTACCAGGGAGGGGGATATAGTATTCCCTGGTGGTCCAGTGGCTTGTTAAGTACAGTGGTGGCTCAGCAACAGCAAGCGCTGACTTACCTTGCAAGCAGCTCCTACAGCTCCCTGTGTAAATCTCGCGGCTCTTAGTGCCGCGCGGAGCGTTGCCATGGTAACCCGTGGCAACGCTCTGCGGCCGCGGGTCTCGCGAGATTTACACAGGGAGCTGTAGGAGCTGCATGCAAGGTAAGTCAGCGCTTGCTGCTGGCCCCCACAGGACCGCCGGGCTTGTAATGGGCCCGGCGGTCCTGTTATATATTATCGGCAATATCGGTATCTGAATTGGCCGATACCGATATTGCCGAAAATACCAAATATCGGCCGATAATATCGGCCAGACCGATAATCGGTCGATCCCTAAATTGCACTCTTCCCAGTATCAAAGTGCATTACAAAGGGAAAGTGTTACGGTGAAGAATTTATTGTGGACAAGTCAACCTGTTTTTTTAGTTTGCCTTTATTTGATATAAAATCTGAAATTCAATTTGTATTCTCAATTCATACTTATTCTGGTGTTTTGTTGTTTTTTTGTTTTTTTTGTTTGTTTTTAGTGCAATTCTGGGGATTATTCATATAAAGCAGGCTATGGTATAGGTCAGTTACCATGGATACCAATAGACCGTTCCTTGTTGGTTGTTCAACTTTAAGAATGGTGCCCAGTATATGTTTATATTATTAAGTGCAGTTATCACATGTAAGGTCTACTTGGCTCGTGTATCCAAGTCATGGATCTTCAGTACATTGAGTGTAGAGGAAACGCATTGGGACAAATCCCCAAGTCCTCACTCTCGTGTTCTTGTTTTTGCCACATAGACAAATTCCTACATTTTATGCGTACCACCCAGCTCTGCTACCACCTGGCATTTCCGAGCAGATCAATGAAATTGTGGTTAATTTTCATGAGTGTGAGGTTTTGGGAAAGCAGCACAAAGAGAGTGGGGTGCTTCGTGATGCCCACTGTACATGAATTGGAGTTTTATTGTTGTAGATCTCCTCAGTTCACTTGCACACCATATCTTTTTTTTGTTTTCTGTGGATCAGAAAGTAAAGTAAAGATGCATGCATACGTTTAAGATTTAAAGTTGTGGAGCTCTGGAAGCCACATTTACACACCCCACTCTGATCTTTGTTTTATTGTTGTGGAGCTCTCTGACTGTATACGTACTTACATTTGCCTTTTGTGGTTCCATAACATTTTTGCGCTTCCACACCAAACGTCTTTTACACCCTTGCTTTTAAAAATTGCATATATAAAAACAAAACACAATGTTGCGCCAAATACCATCGTACCATTTCACAGCAGTAAAACAAATTCTTTAAAGTGAAATTCCACAAAAATACTGTTGGACTGAGAAAATACCTTAATCCTTTTATGATCTACATTTATTTTTACAATGCAATAAATGTTCACTGGAAAGCCTAGAGATAAGAAAAGCTAACAACTGAAGAGGAAAAAAGCAACACATAAAAAAACAAAAAAAAAACACATATAGGTAAAAATCAGATAACAAAGTGATAACAGTAAACATATATACGAGATTAGTCCAAAGGAAAACTCGGTATTATCAAGTAACAAAAAACAAACAAAAAACAATAGTAAAACAGACAAAAAAAAAAAAAAGAGAACACTAACAAAACTCTTATGACCTTAACAATTTCAGGTGAAATAGAGTCCTTCTGCTACTTCCTTATATTTTGCCACAAAGGAGTTTAAAAAAACAATATTTTGAGAGCAATTTGATATTGCTTTACAACGTAACAGAAAGGAAATGATCCGATGGATTTGATTTGCTGAGACAGATTGCATGTTTAATTGTTGTAGACTTGGAAAGGTAAGAGCAGACTACAGTTGCGTAATTTCACTAAGTTATCCTTTTTCACCCAGTTGTCTGGGTCAAGAAAGACTAAATTCTACTGAACATACTGTTTGGAGCCTTGCTGAAATGAGGAATAAAAATGGGGTCGTGATGGGGACTTTTTACCCTCTGTTGGCAAAACAGATGAAGCTATGTAAGAAAGTAGCATACTTTGTTATAATGGGAGGATACAAAATTAAATGCAAAAAATACAAATAAAATCTATATTTCTTGCTAAATACCCTTCAAATACTTTAAGATTACTTTTTAGATTTTGCACATGTACGTTTAACCCCTTAAGGACCAAACTTCTGGAATAAAAGGGAATCATGACATGTCACACATGTCATGTGTCCTTAAGGGGTTAAACATGAAATTGCATCCCACATTTATTTGTAAATTTAAAAAATATAATCATTAACAAAAAAACTCAGCTCAACAAAATCTATACAATGCAAACTGCGTAACGCATCTACTTCTACAGCAGTTGTATTATTTTTTGAGAATCACTGATATCTAGGATGGATGCCTTGGCAGGTATGTGTAATATATAAATGAAATATTATTGTTACTTTAAGTTTGTTCGGTTTCGGTAAGCATGCACTGAGTGCATTGTGTATTCAGCCGTCTATCATGGAACCATAAGCTTGAAAAATGGCCCATCTTTACTATTAGAGACGGATTTTGTTATTCACTCTCAATGCATGGCAGTTCTAGAGGAGATCCTCATCCGTTAACGAAGAACAGACATGACAATAGTTTATGGAATAATAACAAATAGGACTGAACAACAAGATAATTCAGCAACTATATATATATATATAACACTCTAAGCCATGTTCCAAATGACAGAAACCAGGAGAATGAAAACAAACAAGCCTGTACACTATGTACTTTATTGCATCAGAAACAAAGATATTACACAAATAGCAGACACAAAGAAAATTACAAAATAATCCAAATCTTAAAGTATCACTACCGGACCACAATATGCTCCAATAGATTGCAGGAAAGGAAAGAAAAAGGTTTTCTTTTGAATAGTAACAGGTGGCTTCCAAAACATAAGCGTTTTCTTTTTTCTGCTTTGTATTAGAGTTTATTATGATATTGTAAAGTACTTTAAAACATGTATTTTTTGTTTTTATAATTTTCTTTATGGCTTTATGGATGCTATTTGTATAATTTATTTGTCAATTATTTAAAGAGCATGCATATAGGAGGTAGGTTTAGCCCTTTAAATAAGTTGATATACCCTGATAGGTACATATGTTTTTAAGCTTCGTTGAACATTTACGAACGTGAACCATTTGCACATAAATCCAAATGTTAGTAAAATTGGCATGATCAAATTAAGGAAGGTAACCACATATGTTTGTAATATTTCTGTGCAATGTCTAGGTAATGGAACCTTTTAGGGATGGGACATTTCATTTCTTCAACAACTTAACTCACCTAGCTGGATTAAACTGTAAGTTCTAGAACCCAAAGTTGTTTTTGCTACCACATATTCTGGGGTTCTGGAAGCCTGGTTCTCTTTTAGACCAGATATTCCCCAATTTCATCAACACTTCTTTGTATGAGAGAGTATATTTCCAGCACTTTGGTTTTTCTAAAAGCATTGACCTGTTCCATTTGTTTATCTAAATATATTCTAACAATATGTAGCTTTTCACTACATGTGGACCCACTTCATTAAAATATTAAAAATAAATACATTAATGAATGAATACATGCAAATGTACTTTGTCTTTCTTCCTTGTGCTTTTGGACATTACCCTAGCACTTTCAATAAGGTGGCAATGTTGTATTTGACATTATATTGTTGAGTTTCATTTTTGTCAACTTGTCACAGAATTTAAAAAAAAAAAAGACATTATTACCTATATTAAATGTAATCAGAATAAATAAATAACATCTTTAACTTAACCATTACTACATAACCGATTGTTAAATAAATATGTGCCTCTATTCTGTAATATAGCTGCTGCGCTACACATAGACAACAGACAGTGGCAATGATAGTCATACCAGACACCACCTTTACTGTCACTTCCTCTTTAACCCCTTAAGGACCAAACTTCTGGAATAAAAGGGAATCATGATATGTCACACATGTCATGTGTTCTTAAGGGGTTAAAGGACACTCTGCTGTCCAAATACAAAAAAACAACAAGAAGAAATAACTGTTTACTAGATGTACCCACAATGAAAACGTGCATGCATTTAATTATGTAGTTTTTCATTGGATGTATATGTAAAAACAGCTTGCAGATGCCTTGTCTGTTGCCTTTGCAAGCCTTCCCCTTTTAATCTCATCCAGACATTCAGTGACTGTCCAATCACAGACTTCCCAATGCAGCTCAATGAGAAGTCTTTGCAAGGCAGGTGCTCTGGGCAATTGCTGTCTCTTGAGTTTAGCTCCACTGAGCTAGCCAAACCAGGAAGTAACAAGACCTGCTGTCTGATTAACAGCCAGTGGAGTTTAACAAAGTTAATTGATAAAAGTGTCAATTTCTATTGGAATCTGCACTTTTTGTTAAATGAAAAAAGAGGACACAATCTTAACACATAAAGCATTTCAACAAACTAAAGTGCTTTATGGGTCTGGACTGTCCCTTTAATAGCACACACACAATCAGGGTTATTCATTTAAATGAGAATACAAAATGAATTTCAAATTTAATGTCAAAATAACTGGAAACATTGTCAGCAGTGTTTTTAGTTTGGTTACTCTGGCCTTAAATTTGAAACTCACTTTGAATTTCATTAGAATTCTAATTTTAGTAAATAATAACGTCACACACTCTTTATTTTAAAAAACTGATTTCAAGTGATTGCAACCTCACAAACTTTAGGAGTTACAAGGGAAAGCGTTAAACACTGGATTTATTACTATGAGCCAGGCTCTTGGCCTAAAACAAAATTATACAATTTTCTTGCTGTTGGGAGAAAGGCAGAGTGGTCTGGCTTGCCACCTACACATATAATAGCTGTGAGTCTGTTTCGTAACCAAAGAAAAAGGCCATCAGATAAATGCAAACACGCTAATAAGAGGTGCTATTCTGTTCCAAAAAAAATTAGCATGTTTCAGTTGCGATGAATCTGTTCTCCACTAGAGCTAAGAGCCGTGTTAATGGCCCACTGGGAGTTGTCTTGACACAGCTGGCTTGCGTTATACAAATCCGCAAGTCACACAGACTACATACACATGTTTAACCATTTCATGCCTGTTCTGGTCTACCCTTGTCATAACTTCAGTTTAGCTTTCCATAATGAAAGGATTTCCTAAAGCCAGAATGAAGAAAACGGCAACGTGTTTTGTTAAACACATGCAGACTTGACCAACTATTTAATTTGGCAAGGGTATTTTCTATGTGCACCGGGTATTGGTATGGAAGCTTCCATGTGTTGATTTTGTGGCGTGAAACATGGTTAGTCATCTTTTGATTCCTCTGATACTTTATCTATTTATAAAAGTAGTATGTTTAAGTTTCCACAAAACGAAAGGCAACACCGTTACCACAAAGTACTGAATGAATATACAGGAGTTCTTCAGATTTGTGGTCAGTTTGTGGCTTGCTATCAAAGCAGCAGACCAGCATGTTTTAAGGGCTGAGATGTAAAATGATGAATATGCGGGACTTGTCTTTGAAAAACAAAATCTGCACTGTCCTGAAAGCTAGACACCAGCAGCCTTCCATCATAACTATCGGAAAACTGATCCCGGACTGTCTGAATAAACCAGATAGCTGTGGCAGCAGTGACTGAGTATGGACGTTACTGGTTCAATACGGACATTTTAATACACAGTTATGTTGCAATAGGTTGTTAAACACCATGCTATTTTTAAGTATTTGTGACATTTTAAAATATCATGTTTTGAAGTTCCCTTACAGTCTAGTTTATTCTGGCTGAGGATCTCTGTGTATAAAACATTGCAAGGCAGTTTCTAGAGTATTTTCTAAATTTGAGATAAGTCTAACTCCACCTTTTTTTATGGAATACAGCCACTGGGTTCTGTCTCTTCTCTAGACAAGTTTAAAGGAGAACAGTTATGATTGAGGTTTATTTTATTTTTTTTATAAAAAATATATATTTATGGCAAAATATCCATTTTGTGTTTTCTTCATTTTTATAGCTTTTCTACATCAAGAACTTCTTTACATTATGTACCACTGTCTGAAGGGCATTGTACCACTGGAAAAATATTCACTTTACACTTGGGCAACGATCATACTTCTTGTTGGTGACACATCTGACTCTAATCTCATGGGATTTTATTATTCTGTACATGCAAATATTTTTTAGCCAATTTTGAAAAACCTGCATAAGTACAAAAACAAAACAAAAAAAACCATGAGGGACAACAGATCTCAGACTGGTATGTGCCAGGAGCTTTTTCTAAAGAACAAGTCAGAATGTGATGGAATTCACAACTGCATTTCTGCTACCAACATAAATCTATGAAAATATTTGTTTTCAGCTTATGCATAGTAATATTTCTTTGTTGCCAATTTTGCAGCAAAAGTGTTCATACTTAAAGGACACTAAAGTCACTCATGCCACTTCATCTTAATAAAGTGGTCTGGGTGCAATGTCCCTGTCCTGTTAACCCTACACACAAAGTTTGGGTGTGCATTAAGTGCTTGCCATGCATGTGCATCAGGTCTTCAAATGCTTCTCAATGAGAAGTATTTAATTGCACCATCTTGGAAGAGGCCATGCCTCCTCCATGACATCAGCAAAGGGAAAGGGAGAGGTTAGCAGCACCAAGGGAGCCTCCGCACATGAAAAAGATAAGTAATAAGCTTTATTTTATGATTTTTTATCGCACAAGGAGACCGCTACAGCTAGGGATAAGGACACTATAGTGTTAGCAATACAAGTTTGCATTCCTAATGCTTTAGTGTGTCTTCAAACTACTGAGCAGAGAGAACGATGAATTCAGTGGGAAATCCTCTAAGCCACTTGTGACCAACCCAGTCTTTAAGGAACACCGAAAGTCCAGTCAGTATTACTATCAGAACAGAATTGGGAAATTGAGACAACCAAGGTATAATCCTTGGATCTCAAAGAATATAAATTAACAAACAGCAAGTTCAAGTTACCAAGTTAATGATTTTAGTCTCTAAATGCATCAATATTTATATAAGGATTAAATATAATGGGAGAATGAGAAACCATCATTTAAACCCCTGGGTCTGTCGAAATTGCTTCTCCTTTGGTCGCGTATAACCAACTCTAACCCACAGAACCTTAGCCCCTTTGGATTCCCTGAGTGGTGTTCCCTCAGGTGCCTGGAAATAGGAGTCTCGATATTCTTTTTTGGAGACCCTATGTGTTCCTTAATCCTTTCCTTCAAGGAGTGAAATGTTTTATTCACATACTTCAAAATGCAATCAAAGGTAAGTAAGTATACAATAACTGCAGTATTGTATTTTAAGAAACTGGTGATCACTTTCTTAGTATCATGTTTACCGCACCTAAAGGTACCCACCAGCCAAAATACTGTCACATGGGCCAAGGAACCCCTCTAGGTGGACAGAAACACTGCATAGATTGTTCCATTACATTCCATCCCGCATAATAAGTTGCTATCATTCTGATTACATCCTTGGACTCCATGGGAGTCCAAACACTCAAAAGCTCACTGCTATAGACCTCCAATGCCCTCTTGTAGCCATCTTAATGCACCTATTGGGGTAGCCTTTCTCCTTAAACTGCTGTTTTAACATTTTGGCTTTTATCTTGAAATCTTTAATGTTACTACAATTTCTATGAACCTTGAGGTATTGGCCAGTTAGTATGCCCAGCCTCAGGGATCTCAAATGAAAGCTATCCCATCTGAAGAGGCTATTGGAGGGTGACAGTTTCCTAAACAAATTCGTTTCAAACAAGCCATGTTCTGTGATGGAAATTGTTATGTCTAGGAAATGGAGTATGGAGCCACCAAATTCAGAGGTGAATCTCAAATTTTGATCATTTTCATTTAGGATGGATACAAAGCTATTAAACTCCTCGGGAGCACCACAGCACACAACTGTGAAATATATCAGCACCACATATAGATATTGGGTAAACAACTCTGATTGTACACCTTTTCCTACCACCCAAGGTGAAGGTTGTCATACGATGGGGTACATGCTGTCTATACACCAAAACTGCTTCATTAAGCTAAAGTTGTTTTAAAGACTGTAGTGTCCTTTTCATTTAATAGTTTTTGTAGAGAAGCATGTTAAAATACAGAAAGTACCAGTGGTCACCATAGCAAGTTAACACGGTCTCACATTAAGCGTAAGAAAATTACAAAAATACCATGTTAAGCATACATCAGTGTTCAGAGAATTGTCACCGACCATGGAGACCGATTAATAAGCAGAAATAAAGGTTACCAAGGAGAAAATTACAGAAAAAAAGCAAGAAATGAAGGAGAAGAAAATAAAGAAATGGAAAAACAGCAAGAACAAGGTAGAGCTGCTTAGGAGTCTCTCTTCAATGGCTTTTTGAAATGTGAGTCAATGCAGTCATTATCAGTACTCAGAGCTGCTCAAAAAATTGGCATACATTTCAAAATGAAAGGAAGGTATGTAGTGTAATTACTAACTTATATTGTTATGGCATTTCATTAACAAATATATTGCAATCACGAAAAAAAAGAAGAAGAATGTCACAGTTGTGTCTCTATACGTAAGGCACCGAAGATACAGACTTAGAGGACCTTCAACAGGTATTTACAGGGTCCCTGATAGAACAAAGTCTGGTGATCTCAGTATAAGCACAAGACCAGAACGTTAACATAAAGAACATGAATGCAGGGTTACACTGCATATTACTTAGTAGAACAGATAAGTCGTATAAGGGTTCATGTTGGAGGGTTCCTTAGTTAATTAGGTAACCCATCTGGATGGGTGCTAATAGTTTCTCATAAACACTATCTACTTCTCTAAACTGACTGTTTATATTCTAACAACCTTAGAATCTAAACTGAGCAAAATCGTATCTGTCACATTGTTTTTCAGATATCAATCCAGGTTAGCAGTCCAAATAATCTTTCTACCATTAACCAGACATCTTGCCTTTGGTTTGATGATAAACTGGATTACTCCTTGTGCAATGGAAGTGTCATCTGAATGTGTGCAGTTCAGAAAAGAAGTGCCACAAATCGAATACGGCAAAGGCCTACCACATGAGCTACAGGGCTAAGATAACACTAAGCTAGGAGATAGACCTTTAAAGGTGTCAGCATTAGCAACTGTCCAATATGCACTCTGGTTGATGCAAGCCACCAATAGGCACCAGTCTGTAGGGTAAGCCCACATAAATGTGTTAGATGTAAGTGGCTATAGCCTGACAGACAGTGGTTGCTTGTAACAGTTGCAGAAGTCTAAATGTCTGAAAACACACTACTTCCTGTGCTGTGAAGGCACTTTCAAAATGGGGAATGTTTATGTAAGAGTTTCCTCCGTTGTTACTTTTCCAGTGCCGGTGTAAACACATCCACGTGTAAGGAGAAGTTCCACCTCTCTTCAGACGGCAAACTACAAAACCCAGAATAACAACACAAGGCCAGAGTATAACAACAAATGCCCGATTATTACCCCCAAACTAACTGGAAGTGGGGAGGGGGTGAGAGATTGGGACACAAGTACAGACATAAGAAGCAGAACACGGGTGGTATAGCACCATCGTAATCTATAGCGCTTTAGAAAGCAAATGTGTTGGTCCATCTCTACTAAAATTTGCTTCCAGCGAGCCCACCGTGAATAGGCTAAAGATAATCAAGCCTACAAAGTCACTTAAAACTTCTCTTGATATGATAGATGGGCACTTCAGGTGAATAGTTCTACCAGGATGAACAAATGACACAGTGTGACACAAAACTCATTTGGATACTCAACATTCACAAGCTCTGGGGCAACACTGGAATTTTCAGGTTTGAGAATAATATACCTTGGAAAAGGTAAGCAGAACTTAACTGAAAAAGAAGGATGAAGGTGTCAATACATTAGCAGGCACTTCAGTGTTTGGGACCCATGGTGCTAACAATATAGAATTTCACTCCTCTTTTTGGGCATCTTGTATAAATTCTTTAAGCACGCGGCTTGAATTTAAACACATCAATAGCTACTGCTATATTATGCTTAGTGACACAGCTTTCTGCAAAGCATTGTGGTATACATCCCTTTGAACTTCAAAGATTTAAACAGTGTTTTTAAAAAGTAAAACAATCTCAGAACCATTAATTATAACACTTCTCGGTTTTATTTTATTTAAGAAGTGCGAGATGCCTGGGATTTAGACCCACTGTCTTACAAAACCACAGCAGCCAGCAGCTTCCCACATTACACTTCATTTGCAAAAAAGCCTTATGGAATGGTAGAATTTGTCAAAAATAAACCTTAACCTACTTGCGAGTTTAGAAAGAACGTATATATCAGTAAACTACATATATCAGTGAGCCTTAAATAGAATGTTTGTCTTGCCGTAGAATAAATCAAAGGCCCTTCATGTACTTCCCTTCAGAACATGACAAACTTAATTATTCTTACTGATGGTCCTTGAAGAAATGGAGCATTGCATTTGCTGACCTTTGACAGGTTCTTAACTTCCATTTACAGAGCTATATGTGGCTGTACATTGAAGCCAAACAGTTCTTAAAATGGATAAAAAGCACAGTGGTGCTCAGGGTATATTGATTACTTTACTTCACATCTTCCTCAAGTTGCCAAATGTTACAGCAACTACAACTGCAGATGTAGCTATTGTTACAACAACTACAACAATTGGAAAAATCTGCACAAGTAACAAGTATAGATAATAACTATAATACTTAGTTTGATGCAGTGGCGTACTAGGGGTGGGCGGAGGGGGTGGTCCGCCCCGGGTGCCAGCAGGGTGGGGGGTGCCTTGGGCGGCTGCAGCTTTGCCCGCCCGGGCGCAGCCTGAGGAAAGGTGCTGACAGGAGGGAAGCGCTCAGCACTCAGCGCTCCCTCCTGTCACTCCCTCCCTGTAGTGGCGAGCCCTCATGGTCCGGTATGGAGCATCAATCCAGCCCGGCGGATTCAGAGTCACTTCCCGTAGTCCGGCGAGCCTGACAACTCCTACCCAGCGTCTAACTTTCGACCAGCGCTACAGCTGAGGTAAGGGGTGGAATAAGGAGAGACTAGGAGATGGGGGTGGAATAGGAGAGGCGGGGGAGGGGAGACCAGGAGGCGGGGAGCTGGGTGAGAGGAGAGATGAGGCTGGGATGATGAAATTGGAATAGGAAGATGGGGGTGGAATAAGGAAGTGGTGGGAGGAATAGAGATGGGGGGTGGAATAAGGAGATGGGGGGAATAGGAGATGGGGGAGAATAGGAGAGATGGGAGGGGATAAGGAGAGATGGGAGGAATAAGGAGAGATGGGAGGGAATAAGGAGAGATTGGGAGGGGGGAAGGAAATTGGAGATGGGGATAAAGAAATTGGGAGGGAAGGAAATTGGAGGGGATAAAGAAAGATTGGGAGAGGGGGATAAAGAAAGAAATTGGGAGGGGGAGAGAAGGAAATTGGAGGAGGATTGACATTCATCACACACAATGCACCCCTTGCACACAGAAAAACACACAATGCATTACACACACAGACACACATACACAAGAAATGCAACCGTTACACACAATGCATCCCTTACACACACAGAAACACACAATGCATTCATTACACACACTCAATGCACCCCTTACACACACTCAATGCATCGCGTACATACACAGAAACACACCTTGCAGCCCTTACACATACAAACACAGATTCACACAATGCATTCCTTACACACATATCAGGATATCCCTTACACACTCCACCCCCTGTGAACAAACTCATTGGTGGAACATGAAGGTGGATCCTGGGACCCAGACCTTGAGCTGTGTAAAGGGCCCCCAAAAAATGGAGCTGCTTCCCGTTCTCCCAGAACATTGATTTTTGTGACCACAGTTACAAACCGCCTCCAGCGGAGAGGGGATAATGCCACAGGAAAGAGAGTAGTCATGCTATCAGATCAAAGGGAGAAACATCTGACAAGGGGACAAGTGGTGAAAGGAGGCTATTCAGTAGTCAGGAATAAGAATTGAAGAGTAGTAGAGACACTGCCTAAGTAAGGTTGAGAGGGAGGAGAGTGAATGAAGAAGAAGTATTTCCTTAACTGACTAATCTACTAATCTTGTTGGTAAAATAACATGCAAGGTTATCAGCTATAATGTTACTATGAGGGTGGTCACAGCAGGGCAAAGCATGGAGTTGAATGTATCAAAGAGATGCTGTGGATTTTGAGAGTATGTATTAATGAGAGAGGAAAAGTATGACTGTTTAGCAAGGAAGAGGGCTTCATTGTATAAGCGTAACAAGAATTTGTAATGGAGAAAGTCTGACATGGTGCAAGACTTTATTCAGTTGCATTTAGCATATTTGTAGGTAGTGGGTCAACTTAGCGTGCCAACCTACATGCCCACCTTGAGGTGTATGTTTTGAGCAGGGCTGTAGTTTACAGGACAGAGGTGGGGATGGTGTTATACAAGGAGATAGCCAGAGAGGGACAGGAGAATGTGGTGGGTGGTTATGAGTTGAGAATGGAATTCAACTGACAGTTGCTGAAGGTCAAAAGAATTAGATGGGGTTTGGAAATCGAAAATTTATAGCAGCAGTGATTTTGACTAAAAGTCATGTGTGTGCAGAGACACAGTGACAGTTGACCTCTTTGCAAAATAACCTATTCAATAGGTTGGGATGGTGTCTAGAGTGGACTTTTACAAACCAGTTCAGAAAAAATTTTAGTATGAGCAAATCTTGCTTTCCAAATGACAAATACCTCCTCACAACAAAGTGTATTATATTCCTTTAAAATCATGATTTATCAAAATAAAAATGTACAAAAAAATGAAATTATAATTTATCAATGGATTTAGAAATATGATCATTCAAAAGCCCTGGATGCTAAATTGAATATTTCTAACATGAAACGGACAGCTGTGTCTCAATGGTGAAACATTCATAAGATTTAAAATCATGTACAATGCAAAATATCTTATATTGGTTAATACATATTTAAAATGAAACTGTAGTTATACTAAAACCACGCAGCAGTATATATTTTAACTCCTAAGATAATATGCATTATTATTTGCACTTTGTCCAAGAGGGATGCCTGGTTATAGCCACATAGCGTAATATGTTTAAATCATATATATTAGACCTTTGCAGTTCTTATTTTCCTTTTTTTAGATTTGTGGCTGTTCTCAAAGTATTGTCTTTGGTGCTTGTTTGCAAATAGTCCCTGTAAAAACATTTTTGAACTCTTTGTCTTCATGATTATTCATCACCAGAAAACTCTCCTGTGCAAAGGATAAGACTACATTGTAAATCTCCAAGATCAAGAATCACCTACTCTGTTGGTATGGGGTCTTTGTAGTTGCAACGGAATTGGTCTCTGACTCTGCTGATTCCAGTACTCCTACTACCAACTCTCTAAGCATGATGACATTTTGGGTGCCATCTTGATTATAATACCTTATTGCTTAGCTTAAACTGTAAAAGCTCTAATCACTGGGTGAATGGCCACCTTTCTAAAACATTTTTCTCAATGGGCGGTCATTGATAAGTTGAGAGCTTCAACTCTTTCAGCCTTTTACTACCATGCAAGGAAAAGGCTTCTGCATTGGAGTTGGGACAGGACAAGACAGAGAAGATGGGTTTCATCAATAGGAATTTTGTGGTTAAACTGTTAGAAAGTGGTTTAACTCCATAACGTAGAACACCGCCGAAGACCTCTAGACACCATAACCATTTTGTTGTTGTGGTGAACAGAGTTAATCTTTTATTTTACATTTTAACCTTTTGCCACCAGAGTAAAAAAAATAACAATTGAATACTAAGATGGGTGTCAGTTAGCTGTGGGAGACGGTTGGGCACCCCTGCCAACAGTAGTACAGTGTCAGAGGTTCTGAATGTTTCTTTACTCAGTCTGTCATTAGAGAATCAAGTGCAGGCTGGAATAACATTTGCAGTCATTTTCCTGCCTCTACGGCCACTTACTGCACGACGTTTGGTGCTTTCTAATAGATTGCGTAGAGGGATATGCAGATCCCCACTGCGGTCTTCCTCCCATACAATATTGGTAGGTGATGGATGTAGGAAGGATAAAAAAAAGTGAGTTTCAGTGGAATTTTTGCAAGCACAGTTTACAATTACAGTCTACAAATACATGTTAATAAAATTTTAATTCATATCATGAGGTTGTAAAAGTGCCCGGAAATGTATATTTTACAAATATACTACATCGAAGGTTTGGTTGTGTATCCGTTTCAGAGCATGCCAGTATACATGGCGCATACATATTATTTTGAGATTTAGCAGTGAACACGGTAGGATGTGAGTGGGTGTTTACATATCACATTGACTGGCACAGCTACAGTTTATATCGCCATGACAACAGCACGGAGGTATATATTGGAATCTTCTATAGTGTTATATACATTTGACAGCAATACGATAAGAACCATGTTTATATATATGACATTATAACGTCAATAAACTGACACCATATCATTTTTACATGACAGGTGCTCTTTAAAGTTGTGATGCGCCTTCTACATTTATGTTATATGATCTCTTATATTGCTGTTTCTTTAGCCCACTAAATGTCAGAGGCGTCCACCACACAGTACATTGCATGTTAATCCATAGAATTACACACAAACCCACGATCAATGGATTAGAGTTAGATGTCAGTGTATCAATAAAACAACACAGTTTGGGCTGCTTTGTGTTTACATTTACCCAAGCAACAGAGAGCAAACGTCAACCAGCTTAAATAAGAATGGCATTATATGGTTATTTTTTTATTGAAACTGAGAAACTTTAACACCAATTGATTACAGTAAACTTGCAGTTAAATTTCGTCTAATTCACTGTACTTGTTCTATAAAGTCCTGGTAGTAATGGATTAGCGATGCAAAGGGTTATTTCAGTAATTCATTGGCTGCACCACAAGGATTAGGTCTAATTTTAGTTTTGGAACTAGACATTTCAGTTTACAAGCCCAAAATCTAGCAGTGATAGACAATGTTTTTACAATTTCCAAAATGTATTTAACCCTCTAGGTAGCTACAATGTATTATCTAATGAATATATCTAACCTTTTATTTTCTCTGGTAGGCACACAATTGTTTTTTTCAACGTGTACTATACTCCCAAAGCTATTGTTTGATTCACTAGCCCTTTGAAAACAATCTGTAATTTTCCATTAGCTGTTACAGAGTTTTGCTACACTGTGACTATATTTAGTTTTGCCAAATGCTGACCATCGTGGTTCTTAAACAACAATCAGAGTAGCAGTGTTACCAATCAAGCCCTGTGCAATTTAGTGTCTGGCAGGTTCACATGGCATTTTTTAAAAAGTTCTCTTCTCCAATGTCACCCAGATCTGCTCTATTCAGAGTGTGCCATGTCTCCACTACACAAGCACAGGTTCTGCCCTATAATTTTACCAAGCCCTGCCCTATGTAGCATGTGGTAGGTTAACACTACATTTTGAGATGGTTCTTCCTTTATAATTTCACCCAACCCTATCCTGTGTAGCATGTGACAGGTCCACGCTGCATATCAAGATGCTCTCCTCGCCACTCCAATGTAAGTGTCAGCTACACAATGCACACCAAAAAGCTATCCCTTTAAGGGTCGTCCAGCCCTGCTGCCCCACTTAATAAATAGAATGTCCGAACTGTACCTCAATAGTCCGAACTGTACCTCAATAGTTCTCCATTTCAGCTGTCATTCTGCCCAGTTCTATTAGTAACAAACTGTACTTGAAATGATTCATCAATATTACCATAGCTGTGTTATATTCATGTGGCATTACCACCAAGCATGTCCAACTCACCCCCACACATTTTTCCTACACATTTTCCTCTGGATCAGTATTCCTCAACCTTTTTCTAACCAAAATGGTTATCCACAAGAATGAGAATTATCGGAAATTGAAAGTGAATTCCAGATTTTAGACCAAAATAGCTGAATTGGAAAAAATCATCCAAGACAACGAAGCTTCCAGTTTGGCTACTTTGGCCTTAAATTTCAAATCCATTTTGATTTTACTTTGAATTGCCGACAATCCTCACTTTAATAAAATAACCGTACGCATGCCACATGTAACAGTTTTGCCCAGCTGTGCTCTAGATTGTAAACTCAAGTATAAAGGGATTTCTTGTTTAGTAACGTGTTTACATTTTTCCACACTTTTTCCTCTTTCTCAAATATATCCGTTCTTTCCGCATAACTACCTAATGCTATTTTTATGAACTATGCGGTGAAGACAGAGCTTCCTTCCTATATATACTTCAATGCATGCAGCATCTTGCAAGCAGAATCCTCCGTTGCAGAGTTTATACAAGTTTCTTCTTTAGTCTCATACATAGCAATGAGCGTCTAAGACTCTCTTCTTTGGCAAAGAGCAGTCTTACCTGTTTAATCTGCTGCTCCCAGCCCTGTATGTTCATACCAGCAATCTGCATATGTTTCAAATGGCCTCACATATGTTAACGAACGACAAACAAAACTGAGAAGTAATCAGGTTTTTCTGCAAGTCTCGTTAATTGCAGTAATACAAGGATGTAAGAAATTGGATTCAGCATAATTTTTTTTTCTCGACTGTAGCACAAACAGAAAATATAAAATCATAACAAAAATACGCAGACACAACTCTCTGCACATACCTGCCTAATGCTCTGTCAGCGCTCCGAGACACATTTGGCATCAGTCTTTCTAACTCAGTATCAACCCAGCAGCAATTGACAAGGCAGTCTTTCTCCAGACGCAACAGCTATTGCTGTTCTTTCAGCCTTATATTCAGGCTTAATCAGAACTCACTGCAGTCCTGTCCTACACAGTAATTACTTTTCTTTGCACAGAGGAGATTTTTTTTTAAAGGGACAGTATTATCCATATTTTTCTCTTTTATTTTTCAATTTTTTTCAAGAAATAAAATAATAAAGTTACATTTTCTTTTAAGATTAATGAATGTTTGTAGTCTTTTCACGTAAAATTATTTCCCAGAATGCAGAATATTCACAAGATGATAAAGTTTTGAGCTAGGTGCCCAGTAATTAAATATTTTCCTGCTTTGGGCAAGTGGGTATATGGATAGGTAACTAATATTGACAAAAAGACAAGGGAGTTCCGTAGGAACATGCTGTATTGTCAGATTAAATTTTATAACCTAAGCTACTTTTGCCATCTATTTTATATCGCAAATAGAATAGATTATCTTTCTGATGTACATTTTTATTTTAATTCACATAATTTTTTACATTTGCATAATGTGTTCCCTCATTCATCTGAAACGTGTATATAGCAACATTTTTAAAAAATGTTCAGCTGTTTTAACCGTTTGGGTATTTAAAGGCAGCAAGCGACTGGACTGCACGCTGTGCTCTGAGAACATAGGTTTGTGGGTGTGCATACCCAGGAGTCCCTGCTAAGGAGGGACAGTCCTAATTTTTTGCCCAAATCACCAGGTGCCTCTTTTCTATCCTAAAGTCCATTTTTTTCCTAGGAGCTCCATATTGTTGGTGTGTTTGAGTGTATTACAGAGCTACACAGCCACTATAAAGTAATGTCTCTTTAAACCTAAAATTAATGTGTTTAGAAATCAGTCTGTGTAAGTAATATACATTGTTCTTGTTTTAAACGACATATTAGTTGCTTAAATTGTTATTAGTAAGTCACCTAATTTTTCTCATAACAGCTCTGCCCCTGGCCACATCCCCGCTCACTCCACTAAAATAAAAATGTCCCTCTTCTCCCATTTGAAATGTTGGGTATGGTGTAAAGTTGGGGAGGCTGCTTGTAATATTCTGATAGTCGGAGTAGGCACCTGTGGTGCCCCTATCTGATATGCACCTGTAGGCATGTGCCTACTCTGTCTAATGGGAGATCTGGCCCTGAATTTACAGTTAACACAGCTAAAGCATACATTACATGATTAAACCTGTTTATTCATGTGTGCTAGGCTATAGAAAGAGTTGGCCATGCCAAACTGTCCAATGGGCAACTAGATTCAGTGTAACATAAAGGGATGCAGTGATTTGGCACAGCATCAATGTAGACATTAATTGGTGCCACGTTAAGATGAATTACGTTTACAAATGTGCCCTGTAACGTGTTTGCCAGCATTATGTCCCAACTCAAAAATCCATCTGTAAATGAGCAGGGGGTTGTTGAGGTACTGAGGACCAAGCTCAAGATCATCACTGCTACAGAAATAGAACACAAAGGGGCAAAACAAAAAAAGGATAAAAGCATTCACTTACTATTAAAGTGTAACCTAATTCTTTCGCTTCTCAAACAAGAAGGCGGATAATGACCAATCCTGCCCCTTTAAAAAAAACAAAATCTCTGCTGTGTATGGCATTCTACAGTGCATTCAATATGACGTCTACATCATCCAATTTAAAGTTAAACACAGAGGAAAGCAATGTGCTTCTCAAGGCAAAACTCACAGTGTGGGATGAAGCAACAATAATATAAATCCAGACCTTTCAAAGAGCAGACAGGCAATTGCGCAACCTGACACGTTTAAATTTAAAGTACTAAGTGGAGAGACAGTTCATCGGACTCATTAGTTGCTCTGTCTAAAAGAAGAGCATTGATTATATTTATAATCTTAATAAATGTATCCATGTAATATTTAAGTATCTTGCGCTAGGATCAGCAAAAATATACAATGTAAATGCATTTGTGGCTCTATTGGCCAGGTATAAATAGCGAGAATGTAATTGCGTCTTTATTTTTTTGACAATCTTAACTTATAGCAAGAATTTTCATGTTTTACACAGTGAATAAAGGATTTTACAGAAATAGGTGTTCAGCAATATTTTCTGTTGTAACACATAGACCTTGCATAGTTAGTTTATATGCAATTATACACTGCAATTCTCACACTTATATTCATCAAACATTGCATGCATTAGTTCTTTCCCTTTTTCTACTCACTTACTTTTTGCCTTTTCCCTTTCTCCTTGTCCCAGTATTGCTTTATTAACAGTTTACAGCTAATAATCCTCAACTGTACACATGTATGCAGACAACACTGTAATCTACGCTAGTAAACCCAAGCTACCGCAGCTTGAGGCTGTGCTCCAAAACCAATTCACAGAGGTAGGAAAGTGGGCAGCGGATAGCAATCTCTTCCTAAACACTGACAAAACCGTTACACTGATCTTTGGAACTGTACCTAAATTACGTAAACTACAAAATCAACAACTGTGTATCAGAACAAATTCAAATAGCACACTGGCAGCAGTATGTTCTTTCAAATATCTAGGTATGTTGCTAAACCCCAATCTATCTTTTGGCCTTCACATTGAGAAAATGTCTTCAAAATATTACCCAAAACTAGGTGTCCTGTAAAGGAACAAGTCCTGCCTAAGCCCTACAGTAAGGAAACAAATGCTAATGCCGGTCATTGATTATGGGGATGTAGTGTATGCACCGGCACCGCAAACCCACCTTAATAAACTTAATAAGTTATATAATTTGTTCTGCCGCTTTGTACTAGAATTACTTTACCCATCATTGTGACATGTTAAAAGAGCTAAACTGGCTGTCGCTGGAATCCCGACGCACTCTTCATCTTTCCAGCCTTGTGCATAAGAGCATTTCTGGGAAGCTCCCACCCTACCTGAGTAGATGCCCTCCCTGGTTGTTCCCACCTCCTACAGCCTCTGATCCAGTACTAGCACAATATTTAGCATACCGCAATACAAAAATAAAGTGGCTTGATCCTCCTTTTTCTACAAAGCACTGCAATTATGGAAGAACTTCAGGGACACAGTCAAATCTTCATTCAATCTAAAAAAATTTAAGAGATCTGTGGCAATATACCTCAGCACAGAATGCACCTGTTATGTATTAGATTTATATATGTGTGTATATATATATAAATGATATTGGAAGCCAAAGGAGCTAATGAGTTTACCAAGGGAGGCAGTATAGATAGAGAACAGTAGAGGAAAGAGCGCTGGGAGAGAGCAATATCTTGTAGACCAATATTGCGGATGATGAGAAGAAGCTGTTGATGTGTGTCAAAAGCCATAGACAGGTCAAGGAGAATTAGGATAGAGTAGTGACCACGAGATTTTGCAGCGAGCAGTTCATTTTATACTTTGGTCAGTGCCATTTCCACAGAGTGCTTAGCGCAGAAACCAGACTGAAGCAGATCTAGCAGAGAGTTAGACTCGAGGAAGTCTGTTAATCTTGCATACACAACTCTTTCAAGGATCTTGGATGCAAAAGGCAGTAGCGAGGTAGGACGGTAGTTGGATGGGGAGCTAGGGTCAAGGTTGGACTTCTTTAGAATTGGGGTTACAGTTGCATGTTTGAAGGGCGATGGAAATATGCCAGAGGGGCTCCCGTCATGCGCAGAAGTTTTCTAACTGTGTGAGTGGTCTGGCTAGTCCCCTCTTTGGAGTTATCGAGCGAAAGAAGTGCATCTGTTGGTGGAACTAGAATCTCTTTAACAGTGTGAGTTGCCTACCCGGAATGAGCTGATGCGCTGGTTTCAGCTCTTCTTCTATGCAGACGTCTTTTGCAAAAATAGTGGCTTTTTCCTGTATAAGCAGGGCCGTCTTTAACGCGGGGGAAACGGGGCAGCTGCCCCGGGCCCAGTTGCTCCTGGGGGCCCAGAGCAGCTGCTCTGTGGGCCCCGCGATTTGCGCAGCCCCCGGAGCATGTGTCAGCAGGGGCCCGGTCGGGCGCTGTGGCACTTAAACAGCGCGACCGGGCCCCTCTTCCGGTTCTGCAGCCGGCTGGGAGGAAGTGACGTCACTTCCTCCCACCGGAGATAGCCGCGCGGGAGGAGGGGAGTTCCAGAGGAGAACTCCCATCTGCCTCAGCCTGCCACTGGACCAGGGAAACCACCCTCCAGAAAAAGTTAAGAACCTGGAGGGTGGCTAAATGTATGTCAGTAGGTCTGTCTGTGTGTGTATGTCTGTGTGTATGCCAGTATGTCTGTGTCTGTGTGTGTCAGTATGTCTGTGTGTGTGTGTGTCAGTATGTCTGTGTGTGTATGCCAGTATGTCTGTGTGTGTGTGTGTGTGTCAGTATGTCTGTGTGTATGCCAGTATGTCTGTGTGTGTGTCAGTATGTCTGTGTGTATGCCAGTATGTCTCTGTGTGTGTGTGTCAGTATGTCTGTGTGTATGCCAGTATGTCTGTGTGTGTATGTCAGTGTGTGTGTGTGTGTGTGTATGTCTGTGTATGTCTGTGTGTGTGTGTGTGTCAGTATGTCTGTGTGTATGCCAGTATGTCTGTGTGTGTGTGTGTGTCAGTATGTCTGTGTGTATGCCAGTATGTCTGTGTGTGTGTGTGTGTACGTGTGTGTACGTGTGTGTCAGTATGTCTGCCAGGATATATTTGTGTGTCAGTGTATGTGTGTGTCAGTATGTTTCTGTGAATGTTTTAATGTCTGTCTGTGTGTATGTGCCAGTCTGTCTGTGTGTGTGTGTCAGCATGTCTTTGTGTGTCAGTATGTCTGTGTGTGTATGTAAGTATGTCTGTGTGTGTATGTGTGTGTCAGTCAGTATGTCTGTCAGTGTAAGTGTCTGTGTGTGTATGTATGTATGTCTGTGTGTGTGTCAGTATGTCTGCCAGGATATATTTGTATGTCAGTGTATGTGTGTGTCAGTATATATCTGTGAATGTTTAATGTCTGTCTGTATCAGCCATTACGTCTGTCTGTGTATATGTCAGTATGCCTGTGTGTGTGTGTGTGTATGTCAGTATGCCTGTGTGTGTGTGTCAATGTGTCTGTCAGTGTATGTGTCTGTGTGTTTTAGTATATCTGTCAGTGTATGTGTTTGTGTGTGTGTCAGTATATCTGTTAATGTATGTGTCTGTGTATGTATGTATGTCTGTGTGTGTGTCAGTATGTCTGCCAGTATATATTTGTGTGTAGTGACTTTGTGTGTCAGTATGTATCTGTGAATGTTTTAATGTCTGTCTGTGTGTGTATGTGCCAGTACGTCTGTCAGTGTGATTGCGGGTTGGACGTAATTGGGGGGTGAGGCAGTGGCAGGGACAGGGCCCATGGGGCCCAAGAAAATGCATTGCCCAGGGTCCTAATCATATTATAGACGGCCCTGTGTATAAGTGCACAATTATCATGTGTCATGCCTTCTGGGAAAGCCAGTTGGTTGTCAGCGTGTACATAGGTCCCCTTGACATGTATAGGTCCATTCTAAATCTGAAAGTGTACAAAATGTCCCTATCAATGGGTGCCTGTGTATGTGCTGTCGTGATTCCTGCCTATCTAGCCATTTTGCCCCTGGTAGAGCTTCTCCAGCCTCTTCTTTTTCCACTTTTGTCTATGTTCGGGACCTTCCATGCCACTCTGCTATTCAGGTCAGATGTGTGGCTTGACAATATTTGACCAGGCTGGGCAGATCAATAACCCCATAATCTATTTAATAAAGGGGGGAAGTTCAGCTGATATAGTAGGGAGAGGCCCGCAGGTACCTGAACCCTTAAATACTTAATCTGTCTGGGGCACCACCATAAAGGAAAGTTTTCCTGAAATTTGGAGGCATCCATTTCCTCCACAGAGACATTTAAGATTTCTGATTTATCCATATTGATTTTTAGATTACTAAGTTTGCCATATGTCCCTAGTTCTTGGAGAATACTTGGCAGTGTAATGTGGGCTTTAGTTACAAAAAAGACTATATCATCCGCACAGGAGGTTTTGTGCTTTACTCATTGTGTTGGGAGTCCAGCTATGTTGGGGTTCTGTTGAATCGTGTCCAAAAAGGGGATCCAGGGACATTGTAATTGCATCTTTAACACTCATGTTATAAATAAAGTTTTATGTTTCACTGGCCTTGACCTAAGTCAAAGGTAGCATAGCTCTTACAGTGTACTGAAGTGAAACTTCTTATAATTTCCTTGCAATATCTATATAAATGTATGAATATATATACATATACATTTGCATATTAATTTGCATACATATGCCACATACTTACTAAATTAAACTTACAAAAGCTGGTAGTATGAGTAATTCCCTTTTACTTTTTACCTTTGTGGCCAATTACAACGGTAAATTGAAATCAGTAGATTTTATGGATTTGGAAGAAACCTAACAATGTGACTATATTTAATATATCAAATAACCAAAACACAAGGATTAACATTCCATGAAAATTTGTTCATGCATAATGTATAAAAAAAAAAAAAAGTAATAAGTATATAGCTCCCCACGGCAGTGTTGTCTTCACAGAATTATGCATTTAGAAGAAACATGACTCAAATCACACCTCCCATATTGCCCAGCTAAGCAAGTAACTCAAATCTTTAAATCACAGATAGAGCAGAACAGTGTTTATAAAAGCTTTTCCTCCGAGAACCACAAACAGGGCATATATTTAAATACCCAGCCACCCATACATTTAACACCAAACAAAAATGTGTTTTAAGTAATTTCTTGGTCATAACTTAACTTCAGAGTGTGATTTCTGGAGAGCAATAGTAAATTTAAAAACACAAGTGTGAAAAGTGTCTACCAAATCTGACACTTAGAAATGTCAAAAACTGCTCGCCATATCGAATTAATCGGTAAGCTCGAAGGTTGCCCTTTTTGCCCAGAGCCCTGCAGATTGTTTAGAAGGCCCAGCTCTTCACTTGCCATTGTCATACTCTTACACATACAGCTTATTCATTCATGCTTGTGCACCCATTTAACGTCACACCCTATGTTTGGGGAAACAGCTAAAATGTAAATAATTTCACTGGTTGCCAAAAACACCTATTCTAACAATATTAACTATTTGTGAAATGCTTATATGAATTCCACAGAAGAAATATAACAATATATTTATTTATTTATTTTTATAAATATTTACAAGAAGATTTGTCTGGTTTAATATAGGTCTCGATTTAATATTGTTAGATAAGATTTCTAAATTATTTAATATTTTTGAATAATTTTAAAATTATTTTTCCAACATATTCAAATATAATATATATATAATATATAAACAAAATCTTAATATTTAAAAAAATATCAGAATATTAAATTTTTTTAATATTTTGTAGTTTCTCCAAAAATATAAAACTATTCCGAAAGTTTCTCCAACAATATTAAATCAAGTTGAATCCTGGAAATAAGTTATGTCTCTAACAAGCTCCTGTGAGTCTGTATATATACATTCCATGGATAGTGCCAGTTAGGGGGATTTTGATGGAACCTTCAAATCATTAACTAATGTTCCCTGCTACTAGGTTAACACTAATCCTGATTCTCTTAAAATCAGCCAATCATTACATACATCAGATATTTAGTATGTATTCAGATTTGGAGGTGATTTGTCAGTAGGGTCAGAAATGTTTCCCCCAGACCCAGCACTATGTGCCTTCTAGAAAGTTTCCCCCAGACCCAGCACTTTTCTTTCTAAAGATACCATTATTTTCATCATATCATATAAATGACTATAAATTTTTTTATAAAATATGATGAAAACAATGTAAAAAAACAAATTTTATAACCATATAGCTACCATATGGTCTCAAAGGCAACATAAGCAATCTGGCAAATTTCAATGTGAAAAAACGGGTCTTATATTTGACCCTGTAACTTTCAAAAACACTATACAAACTGTACATGGGGGCTACTGTTATCCTCGGGAGACTTAGCTGAACACAAATATTAGTGTTTCAGAACAGTAAAACAAATCACAACAATGATATCCTCAGTGAAAGTGCCATCTGTGTGTGAAAAATGCAAAAAACATCACTTTCACCGACAATAACATCGCTGTGATATGTTTTACTGTTTTGAAACACTAATATTTGTGTTCAGCGAAGTATCCCGAGTAAAACAGTAGGCCGCATGTACAGGTTTTAGGGTGTCATGGAAAGTTACAGTGTTAAATACAGTGCTAGCAAATTAAATTCTCTGGACTTTCGGCATGGGTTGTCAGGCAGGTCCCTCAAATTGCAATAATTAAAATTACTTAATCAGGTAAAAATATTACATAAAAATGCACGTATAATTTAAATATATATATACATATTTATATATTTGAAGTCTATGTGTATATTTATAAAATTATTTATGTAATTATGTATATGGACATATGTATATTTTGTAATATTTTTATTTATTTATATATACATAGATACATATATAATTTTATTCTAAGTGTATTTTCATATATATATATATATATATATATTAATATATATATATATATATTAATATATTAATATCAAAATACAGTTAGAATAAAATTACACACACATATATATATATATATATAAAATGTTTAAAACATTTTAATAATTTTTTTATTTTTTATTATTATTTCTTTTTTATAATAATATATATATACAACGTGTAATAATTTTACTCTAAGTGTGTTTTTATATTAATATAAGTATATATTAAAGGACCACTCTAGGCACCCAGACCACTTCAGCTTAATGAAGTGGTCTGGGTGCCAGGTCCAGCTAGGGTTAACCCATTTTTTAATAAACATAAAGCAGCTCTGGTGAGAAACTTCAAGTATGTTTATTAATGGCTAAGCCTTCCTCCGTCTTCCCAGAAGTGGCTGTCCCATTGACAGCCATCTGAGGGCGCTATAGCGCTTCCTGCACTGTGATTTTCGTTGCGAGAGCACGCTAGCGCCCATAGGGAAAGCATTGTAAATGCTTTCCTATACTCAGTTGAATGCGCGCTGCCAAGAAGCCTTTGCCGCTGGCGATCTGCCGGGCGGGGCTGAACGGAGGAGTGATCGGAGGCAGAGCTCTCCCAGCGCTGGAAAAGGTAAGTTTAAACCCTTTCCCCTTTCCAGCTGGGCGGAGGGGTCCCTGAGGGTGGGGGCACTCAGGGTATTCATATGCCAGGAAAACGAGTATGTTTTCCTGGCACTATAGTGGTCCTTTAATAAAAAATACACTTAGCATGACGTTATATAAAAGATATACATATACATATTATATATAGATATAATATATGTATATATATATATATATATCATATATTCATATATATATATATATATATATATATATATATAAATATATTTTTTTTTATTTATTAACTTTATATTTTTTATTTTAAACTTTTTTAAAACGTTTTTCACCAGCAGGGGGTCTGCCTGTCAGTTCAGGCAGTCTCCCTGCTGGCAGCACTATAGACACCTATTGCAGCGATCACTGGGGTCCTTTTTTGCAGAGAGGGACTGTCTGGGCTGTGAAGAAGACCGATCGCCGGTGGGGGAACGGCGGCGATCGGGTAAGTACATGGGAGAGGGAGGGAAGGGGTTAAAAACAAAATGTAATATATTTTTTTATTATTTATTCTACTAAGTGCCTCTACCCCTCGAGGCACTCACTACAGGCAGCCAGGGCCAGATTAAGAGCCCAGTGGGCCTGGTGCTGACAATTATGATGGGGCCTAATTACAGAATTGTCACGGCCCCCGGCTCGCCACGAGTCAGGAGCCGCTCTCACGGGTTCTCCTGCTCAGCGGCGAGTCAGGAGCCGCTCTGCCGGGTTCTCCTGGCTGCCTGCCCGGGTTCAAGATGGTGCCGAACATGCGGTCACAGCCAGATATAGCTCTGCACCCCAGGGTCACACACACGCACACGTTCTGCAGTCAGAGGCCAGAGGGATATTTAACCTAGGTTATTGCGCTGTTTTTGTGGTTTTCGTTCCTGGTTCCTGAATCCTGAGAGTGCGTTTTCTTGTCCTGTTTTTGATATTCCCAGTATTTTGACCTTGGCTATTCCTGACTATTCTGATTCCTGGCTTCCCTGACTTGGCTTGTTAAATGGTATTGAATATTTCCGGCTCCCTTGACCATTCTCTGTTTTTAACGTATTAGTCCGGCCATTCTAAGGACCGGTTTACGTTTTATCATTTTCTGTTCTGTCTATGTAGATGTTACATAGTTCTGCGTGCTGGACCACACTAGCAGTCATGACAAGAATCTTATCGACCATAGACACTAAAACAGTCATACCTCTCAAGCGTCAAGTATCTAATGGAGATGGTGTTGGAGGGAAACTCAAAGGATGCAGCTTTAAGAAAACACATACTTTATGCTAATCTCTCTCTAATGTATGCTTTAATCTTTCAAGTAAATCCATACCCTCTAACAGCGGTGTCCAGTGAATCAGGAAGTCAATGGGGACACTGGGAGAAATGGGGACACAGACACTAGGGAAACAGAGACACAGACACTGGAAGACATGGGGACACTAAGACACTAGGGACACTGAGAGACATGAGGATACTGAGACACTAGGGACACTGGCTGGGAGGCATGGAGACACTTGGAGGACACTGGGAGACATGGGGACATTTGGGGACACTAGGGATACTGAGAGACATGGGACACAGACACTGGGAGACATGGGGACACATTCACTAGAGACACTGGCTGGGAGACATAGGGACACAGGGAGACATGGGGACACTGAGACACTAGGGGGACTGGCTGGGAGACATGTGGACACTGGGAGAGATGGGGACACAGACAGTTGGGGACACTGAGACACTAGGGGGACTGGCTGGGAGACATGTGGACTCTGGGAGATATGGGGACACAGACATTTGGGGACACTGGGAGACATAGGGATACTGAGACACTAGGGACACTGAGAGACATGGGGATATAGATACTGGGAGACTAGGGGACACTGAGACAATAGGGACACTGGCTTGGAGGCATGGGGACACTGTGTCCCATGTGTCTATGTGTCTCAATGTGTCTCCCAATATCCCCATATCTCACAGTGTCCCCTAGTTTTTCAGTGTCCCCTAGTGTCTCAGTGTCCCATGTCTCCCTGCTGCCTTTCCCCCCATTCTTCACTTACCTGAGCTGTAGGCTGTCTCTGTAGGCTGGGAGCTGTTGTCTGGACTCTCTGTGCTGTGTAGCTGCTCCCCCGCGGATCAGTGAGAGAGAGAGGCAGGGAGGAATATACTGTAACTTCCTATCCCTGCCTCTCTCCACACACAGTGACCCCTACTGGTTAGTGCTGGTATTACAGAGTAATCTCCGTTTATACTGAGAAAAATATCTGCATTTGTATTGCCGGTATTACTGCAATACCGGCACGACCAGGCAGCCTCAAATACTGGTAAAATACCAGTCAGGTGGCAAACCTAAGAGTAGTGTGTGTAAAAAAAAAAAAAAAAAAGTTACATTTTTTTTTTTTTTTAAATGGGCCTATTCCATGGGCCTGGGCCTGGAGCTGCAGCTCCATCAGCCCCTATGTTAATCCGGCCCTGCAGGCAGCGCGTCGGAAGCTTGAGTGATGGCTTCTTATTCTCTGCCTCACTGCCAGGCTCCACGTGGAACAACCCAGAACGTGAAACAACCCAGAAGTGATCGCTCCAGGTGGAGCGATCACTCAGGAGCCCGGGAGTCAGGGGGGGTACTGCACGATGCCTTGACATCAAGGCATTGCTGCAATACCACTAGAGTGCCTGGAAGCGATAATGATCGCTTCCAGCGCTCTAATTAGCCGCAGACGTATCAGGTACGTCCACGTTCCATAAGGACCGTTTTTTGTCGGACGTACCTGATATGTCCTTGGTCAGGAAGGGGTTAAATTTTGAAAGCTAATTTAATATTTCTAATGAGTCCAATATTTTATGAGGTGGGGTTTCCCGGGGGAGGGGGTGAAATCAAATTATGTGGGTGGATTCTAGCATCCCACCATCTTAAAACGTCTCAAGCCACCAATATATTGTGCTTTTTGTAATTGATTGTATTGCTAATGTCTTGTTTTTCTTTTATTTTTTTATTGAGAAAAAATTGCAAGAGATACAGTCTTTTGAGTAAACAGCACAAAAGTCAATAGCAACAAAAAAAAGTGATAGAAACAATCTTTCTACTTTGTTTATGTTTGTCTGTCATTTAAAAGCAGAAAACACAAACCGAAATACATCTGTTTTATGAAACAACTTATCCCTCTATGGCGATTTGAAATGTTAATCAGTTATGTGATATTAGTGCTTTATGACTAATGACCTTTCAATGAGGTTAAAGCAGAAAAGAAACATGGCATTAATCATTACAACAATAAAACACTGTCTATATTATTTCATGTTAAATATTTTTAAAATGAGTCATAGTTTGTTGTAGTTTTTAAGAATTTAAAAAACAATATATAAATATATTTGCATCCACTCTTATTATATATAATTTTATTCAGGAGAAATAGGGCTTTCATTTAACATCAAATATTTAGCTATGAAACATAATTTAATAAGAATAAAATATTTTAAAAAATGGGAGAAAATAAGAAATGTTATTTTTTTAGTTCTACATGACATTTTAACTGTGAATGTCATAATACTGTTAGCTTTTACTGCAATAAAATTCACATATTTATATCCAGCAAAGTCTCACGTGTAAAACAGTACCCCCTATGTACAGGTTTTATGGTGTTTTGGGAAGTTACAGGGTCAAATATAGCATGTTACATTTTTCAGATTTGTTACCTTGAAATTCGCCAGATTGTTTACGTTGCCTTGTATGGTAGCCCAGGACTGAGAATTACCCCCATGATGGTATACCATTTGCAATAGTAGACAACCCAAGGTAATCGCAAATGGGTTATGTCCAGTCTATTTTGGTAGCCACTTAGTCACAAACACTGGCCAAAGTTAGCGTTAATATTTGTATGTGTGTGTGAAAAATGCAAAAAACTAACTTGAACGCCAATTTTGGCCAGTGTTTGTGACTAGGTGGCTACTAAAAAGACTGGACATAGCCCATTTGCAATATCTTGGGTTGTCTACTTTTGCAAATGGTATGCCATCATGGGGGTAATTCCATACGGTCTCAAAGGCAACATAACCAATCTGACGAATTTCAATGGGAAAAAACTGAAACACAAGCCTTATATTTGATTCTATAACTTTAGAAAACACCATAAACCATGTACGTGGGTGGTACTGTTATACTCAGCAGACTTCAATGAACACAAATATTAGTGTTTCAAAAACATAAAACGTATCACAAGAATTATATCGTCAATGTAAGTGCCGTTTGTGTGTGAAAAAGGCAAAAAACTTCACTTTCACTGATGATATCAACGTTTTACTGTTTTGAAACACTAACATTTGGGTTCAGTGAAGTCTCCTGAGTAAAACAGTACCCCCCCCATGTACAGGTTTTATAGTGTCTTGGAAAGTTACAGGGTTAAATATAGTGCTAGCAAATTAAATTCTCTAGACTTTTCGGCCTGGGTTATAAGGCAGGTCCCACAAATATGTAATTAATAAAATGACCTAATTATGTAAAAATATTACGTAAATATATATGTAGAATAAAAATAATAAAAATAATATATATATATATATATATATATATATATATACGTATGTGTATATAAGTTATTTTTATTTATATATAGCTATATATATATATATATTTATATATATATAGGGATATATACATATATATTTATGTATATAGATATATCTATTATTTCGTTCTAAGTGTATTTTGATATCAATATATATAAATATATAATAATATCAAAATACAAAATTACACACACATATATATATATATATATATTAATTATTTATTTTTTATTATTTCTTATTTTTCATTTGTAACATATTTATATATTTATTTATTTTACATTATATATATATATATATAATTATAATTGTGTGTATATATATATATATATAATTAATTAATGTAATTCTACGTGTATTTTGATATTAATATATATATATAAATTAAACTTTTCTACAGGCAGCAGAGGGACTGCCTGTCATTCTAGGCACTCCCCCTGCTGTCACTGCTATGGACGGCTATTCCGTCCATGTGATCGTGAGGTCCTCGCGATCACATGGACCAGGAGGGCCGGATCGGCAGCAGGGGGACTCCCTGGGATGTCATTCACGTGGGAATGGTGGGAAGTGCTTGCAAGAGATTTGGTTCTGATACACCTCTTTTAAGCATGACAATTGTAGTTGCAGTTGAAACAAGTTCACCCATTATTTGCAGTCAAACATGGGGTCTTGGGTTCCTTTATATAGAGATGGTTCAAAACATTTATATTTCCTGACGGTATAACGTCTACAGACATGCTCCGTAGAAAAACGTCAGCAAATGGGATTGGGTGACATGGATGGTTTTTGGGACTTTTATAAATGGAAAACTAGCAACTAAACTAACTAGGATTATTATTTATATTACCTCTGAGGTTATTTACAAAACAGGTAAGTTGGGAGGACGGCATGGACGTGCTATGTTGTCCGCCGGCGCTTAGAGCCTGGTCCCCAACGACCTGTCCTTAAGAGGTTAAAGGAGTACAGAGTGTATAGATAAATGCCACACAGCATATTTAGCTCCAACCCCCACCCCCCATACTTGCGGATTTTCTGGCTTTTTGCTGGTTTTTCAAACTCTGCCCTTCACCACCAGCCCCTGCATGCACAATCTATTTGGCGAGCTATGCAAGCCCCCCACCCCTGCTGCCATGGTGCCTGGCGCGGTCACGCGCCAGGTTAAGGATAGAGCTAACCTCAATTCTTTAATGTATTATGAAAATTCTGATTCTGGAGTAAAGAAAAAAAAAAAAAACAAAGAGTAAAGTTGAACACTTTCTGTGCCCAGATTTAAATTCACCATCCCCTATGACCCAATAATCAGCTGTTAGGCCTGGAGCCTCCTGGTTATATACATATGTATAAACATATTTTAAAAACAGCAACACTGGTACAGGCCTTAAACTAGTCCATTTGGTAAATACAGTAAACTACCGGTAGGTTCATTCTTCCAAGAGTTACCATGATTTCCTTTAGTACTGAACACAGGTGGATATGGGTGCCAGTGAATCAAATGATTAGACAACACATGGAGAATATTGCACAGACATAAAGCATTATGACTACAGTATTGTGGTTATGGTGCCCCTTTAAGTATGTGGACAATTGCAAATTTCTTTGACCTTGATATGAACTTTTGGCTGAAAACCTGACTCCCCTTTAACCTAAATAATACACCATGTCGCTTACACAGATACTGTTAGATACCATCTGCCCAAAATGTCCAAATTAATAAAATCTCTTGATAATACCAGCTATGTTTCAACACGCACATTGAATATAACCTTTGCAATAACTTTATAAAAAGAATCCATTTTTGAAAAAGAACACACCCTGGAGTGAAAATAAAAATGCATGACTAGCATTTTCCTATGATCTGGGATTTCCGTCTTCATAGAAAATACTATTAAAGCATTAAAAGCAATGCTTTAAGCCGCAGAGCAGGTTCGTTTAAGGAGTGGTAAAGAAAATCAACATTTTACTTTGAGAATTCTGTTTCTAAATTCAAGGCTATTATGGCCTCTCTTGCATATGTGATGCCTTTGCTAATATCTGGCCAGTCAGATTTTAAAGGTCTTTGTAATTGCTTTCAGCTGCAGGCTGTCACAGTCCCCTGGCTGGAAGTTTTATCTTGACGCACACCACTATTCATTCTTTTTTTGGCATTACCAAGATATAATGATACATTCAAGTCGTTTACTCTACTAAAAGCACTAGATGTTGGTCTTTTTGAGGAGAAAGGTGCTATGAATGAATAGCGACAAGCAATATAAATAAAAGCTTTTAAACATCTAAAGGAGTATCAGTTAAATGTTTGTTCTGTAAAAAGTGAGTTGCGGTGCGTTGGCAAATGATTTACGCTTAAAGATGCAAGTAAAGTTAGATATATCTATTAAAACTTGGAGATTTCTTAATTTTAAACAACTTCTAAACAAAAACGTCTCATTGTGCTGTTTTGGCAAATCTGTGATTGGATAGCCACAAAAAGTCTGGGAGGAGTTAGAAGGGGAGGTCTTGCAAAAGCTGCAGACAAGAGAACTGCAATTTTTGCAAGCTGTTTTAACTATAAATGAAAATTCACTTTGAGTTCATTTAGAATTTTCAATTTAGCAAATAACCTTGTGTGTTATATTTATTTCTACACTGCATAATCTGTATATGCACAGTTACAGGAGGAGTTGTAAACATAAAAAAATAGATATATGTTTTGAGTATTCAATAAACTATCTGAGTTATAAAGCATATAGCAAAATGTTTCATTACCAAAAGGAAAAAATGAAAACACATTACTTTAATACTAAGTAACTCTCAGAGCAGTGTTTCACACTTTTATGATGCCAAAATTAATTTCCAAAATTTTCTCATCGGAAAAACAACTATATACCTCATTCGCTGATGTCTATGAATTGCAGACTTCAGGAAGTAAATAAATTCAAAGGTTCTACAACCAAATTCTAAATATGACAACTTACTATTATGTTAATTTGTTCAGTTACTTGTTGGTCGTCTAACACTTACAGACTTTCTACTTAACAGTGGTCGGTTTCCTGCACAGTTAATGATTTATGGATGTAAATGCCTTCAATTTAAAACTCAGTAAATGCTGTGATATTTAAGTCACAGTTTCTCATCAAATAAGCTGGAATACGGAGGCAATACAATAAGAGCCACCCTAATACAGACTGTCTAGGCCAGGACATCAAGTCAGCATGTAACAAATAATGGTACTGCTTGACCCTAAAGTTTGGTGAAACCATTGTCATTGTAAGGTGCAATATACTTTCTATTGTTCAGTAAATCGTTGTAGGTCTAACAATTAAAGTGGAGATGTCACTTTTCTTCAAGTTACAGTTTCTCATTCCCACTTCACAGTAAATGCTAGTGAAGGGACACTCAACTACCAAATTAAAAAAGTATACATAAATAAATATGAGTAACTGTTTATTTAATTTTTTTCCAGTGGGGATCTATCCAAAACAGCTTGCAAAAGCTACAGATCTCTTGTCTGATGCCTTTGCAAGCCCTCCCCTTCTAGCCCTGCCCAGACTTTCTGTGGCTGTCCAATCACAGACTTCCCAATTCAGCTCCATGAAGAGTCTTTGTAAGGCAGGTGCTCTGAGCAATTGCTGCCTCTCGAGTTTTGCTCCACTAAGCTAACCAAACCAGGAAGTAACAGGACCGGTTGTCTGATTGTCAGGTGGGGTGGGGTGAGGGTGTAACAAAGTTAATTTATAAGATCGCCAATTTTTATTGAAATCTGTAATTTTTCAAAAATTATAAAAGTGGACATACTCTTCACACATATCAGGAAGCTGAAGTGTTTTAGGGGTCAAGAGTGTCTTTTTAATGGTTTGCGCAATACAGCAGAAGTAAGTATATAAAACACACCTCCTTCTGCAGAACTTCCATGTCAGGGGTGTTGTGAATGCCCCACAGTGGGCACGTGTGGGCATCTGATGGAAAATAATCTAAACTCATGCATTTCTTCAAAAGTGAACATGTGTACACGTGCCCCCACCACACAGCACAATGAGGGCTATACTAATATATAAATAAATATAATGCTCTAGCTGTGCCAGGATAGCCAAGCATACAAAGTAAATTATAAAATAAAACCAATTTGGAATTTTAAAAAATAGTACAAATCCAATAGTTACATTTTACTTAGAAATCAATTTGTGTCAAATCCCTACATGTGACACTGACAAATTGAGTCATACGTTACATTCATTATGCTGCTACTTTGCAATTTTTGTCACTTATGCATTCTTTGTTATTTTGGGCAGGCAGGTCTTGAAATTGCTGCTGGGTGAAATTCACTTTCTGTTAAAACATTACAGGGTTATTTACTGAAGTAAAAATTCAAACTGAATTCACAGTCCGAATCTAAGGCCAAAGTAGCCAAACTGGAAGCATACCTGACTTAGAAGATGTTTCCAGTTCGGCTATTTTTACCTTGTCTTGAAATGCACTTTGAATTCTCACTTTACTGAATAAGGCTATAAATAATCAGAGTGGTTTCCTCAGAGCAAGGAGTTTGGGAAACCCCTAGCCAAGGGACCCATCTCTGATTTTTAATGGATTTCTTTTTCTATGCTTATGCTTTGGTAGTTTGTATTTAAATTCAGTACCTCAAGGGGGTTATTAAAATGTGTCTCTATTTAGCATTGACGCTGTTCACTATATGGTGAATTGTAGTGAAGTGATAGCTAGCTTGCCAAATAGCTCTGTTGCACATGTTTTTCATGTGTATTGTAGCTTAAAGTTTGCAAATCGGTTCTCAATTCACTACAATTCACTGTTTAGTGAATTAGCCCATAATTTATCTTATTGGCTGCTCAGATGGTTTAATTTACACATTTTTCAACATCTACAGGTTTTCTGAAATTACTTTCATTTTAGATTTATTTAAATGTAATTATCACGTTAATTCACTAGAGACCAACGCAATTTGAATAGGCATTGCAGCTGCTGTCAAGAATGCTATTTACTCGCTAGTATAAAGAAAAAAAGGACTTAGAAAGGAAGTTTCGGGGCCAAGCTAATGGCCATGGGACTGAAAACATAGGGGATAAACGTTCATTAATGTTTGCGGTAAGCCGGCGTTTGGGATACTCTCGTATCAATACAACTCCATTCTGATGAAGTAGTTATGGTGCCAGGAGTTTAACTGTAATAAAGTTCAGCATTAAAATTAGAAGTCCAAAATGACAGTTAATGAAACACTATAAGTCATTTTAGATAGCATTATATATTTCTATCTAATAAAGCTTTAAGTAAATGCTAAGAAAAAAAAAGGGAAAAACCTGGAAGATATATAGGCATTTTGGTTAAATTTTCTCTCATTAAAGAGTGCTCTGGTACAAAAAAGGCTGGTTGTAAATGTCATAATCTACTCAATGTATCCAATGTCGTGATGGTTGAAGTGTTTCATACATTTAGTACATGTCACAGAATGTAAAACTGAAAGCCAATAACATATTCTGAAAATCAGACACACCAGGCTATTTTTCTTAAAGCATTTTGCTATTTTCACACACTGGTATTTTATCACAGATCTATTCCGTAATCTATTTCATATTGTATTGTATTTTTACACTCACATTGTATTGTTTCTGTACATTCTGTAGGGAAGTTGTGTAAACACAGGAAAACCCCTGATCTGTATCCACCTACACCTATTGAGTTCATAGATGGCGTGAGATAAAAAGTTTGCAAGTAATTGCAACCCTGTGTTATGCTGGCCAAATTCCTCATTCAATATTTCAAGAGGAAACTGTTCGCGGCACACTGGTTGAAATACACTAACTTATGGCGCAGTGAGATTCCCTGTATGTTTCTCTTGCACACAATTTGTTTATGACTATCTTTTTTTGTTGTATTTTCTCTGAGTTTGTTTATATTGGTATAATTCAATGAAAAATCTGTATCATTGTTTTTTGTTTTTTTAAGTGTCACATATAGATACGTGATGGACACCTAGCATATGACCTGTAGCAACTAGACACAGATGACAAATGACGTACATAGAAAATCAGGGTAAATGTGTTATTATTTTGGTATCTATTTTATTTTGCTGAATTAGTTATGCTAATGTTCTAATAATTAGTATTATAAGCTAAACTGTGTTTTGTTTCATCCTATTGCATTACATTATTTTAATATTTTACTAAGCAATTTTATTACTCATATAAAGCGCTGTGGAATTTGATGGCGCTCTATAAATATCATAATAATAATAAATAATAATTTGTGGTATACAGTTACAGACTATCGCTACCCCCGATTGCTGGTATGAATTGGTATGGCTTATGTGGGCTTACTCTCTGCCTAAGCCGTACGTCTAGTCAGAGGCAGATCCACAGAAGTTAAGGGACCCTCGTTTAGTGTCATTTTAAAAATGGTTAACCATTGGATGATGCCTATGCTATAAATTAGATTAAGTGATTATGGTGCCTAGAGTGTCACTTGGAACTCACAAGACACCTTAAAGAAAAACTGTTTTTAATTTCACTCTCATAGGATGTAAGTATGTATAAGACAAGTTGTTTGTGACAATCACTCTCTCATATACACAGTCTGTTCGAGGAAATCAGATCACTGAGCCTGCTTCAATAGCAGTAACTGTCCATGCACACCCAACGATGACTGATGATGTTATAGTCCATCCCAGGGCCCCATTTAGCCTTGTACTGCAGAGAGCCCCAGATGGAGATTTTTTTCCCTAAGTAAGTGGGTTGATTTTTTTTTAATAAAATGCCAACATATGCAACATTACAAAATAGACAGCTACATAGCTGACAATGTTGGCAAGTATGCGGCAGTGCTTGATTGCTGGACCAAGAGTGGGGCAAATGGAGGCATTGCTTAAGTCAGGGTCTAGAGAGTGGTGCAATCTGTGCTTCTGGATGACAGACAGCCTAGCAGGCTTGCGCATGCACAGAGCAATATCGAAGCTCTTGGATATAGGTTCAAATACCCTGTAATTATTGTCTAATGCAGCGCAAGTGCAGCTAAATTAACATTTTTTTTCCATATAGGAGGCTTTCTTTACTGCACTCCACATATTGCTGGTATGAATTGGTATGGCTTATGTGGGCTTACTCTCTGCCTAAGCCGTACGTCTAGTCAGAGGCAGATCCACAGAAGTTAAGGGACCCTCGTTTAGTGTCATTTTAAAAATGGTTAACCATTGGATGATGCCTATGCTATAAATTAGATTAAGTGATTATGGTGCCTAGAGTGTCACTTGGAACTCACAAGACACCTTAAAGAAAAACTGTTTTTAATTTCACTCTCATAGGATGTAAGTATGTATAAGACAAGTTGTTTGTGACAATCACTCTCTCATATACACAGTCTGTTCGAGGAAATCAGATCACTGAGCCTGCTTCAATAGCAGTAACTGTCCATGCACACCCAACGATGACTGATGATGTTATAGTCCATCCCAGGGCCCCATTTAGCCTTGTACTGCAGAGAGCCCCAGATGGAGATTTTTTTCCCTAAGTAAGTGGGTTATTCTCATAAGAGCAGACATTAGGCTGATAGAGTAGGACCTGCCGAGGATGGGGTACATTGACGTTGTGGCAGGCTTATGCAAAGTATGATCATATACTGTAACTAAATCCCCATAATTTTTGCCTAGATTAGATGTTTTTAAAGATTTAAAAAAAAACTAATAAAATCTGTGAGCTTTGAAGTTGCTGTTTAGTGGATGAGTGAGTTCGCTGGAACCTTTGCAATTATATATATATATATATATATTTATATGGTGTACCTTTGTTAAGTGGTTGTAATATTGCAAGTGGAGCGCATCAGAGTTTCTCTACTGGATACAGATGCTGGCATGAAATATTGTGTTTATAATATGTCAAGAGCAGTTTGGGGTGAAATCTGAGATATTTAATGCAACATAAAATTGAACAGTCTAAACTAAGACCTCATTCTACTATGAGTAGGTCACGCCAAATAGGCATGCATGAAGATTTTACCTACAGATTACAAATTCACCCATAGGTATGCAGCAAAAAAAAAAACCATGTTATAATGAACAAAGAGCTTTAAAAATGGGTATGGAACTGCAGAAATTAGTAAGATATGTCAAACAAAAGCATCTATCTGTAAGATTGCTGAACAGATCATTATAAATACTGGGGTCTATTCACTAAGCTGGAACTATGCCTCTGATTTGCAAACTTTTGATTATACAAATATAAATCTGACCCACAATTGCAACTCTGGTACTTACTAAAATCTCTTTTTCTGAACCTTCTAAAAATAGGTGTGCTAATTAATTTCAGAGAAATCAGGTACCTGCTTAAAAAATTCAGTAATATAAAGTCTGCATTCCATACAAATTACACATATTTGAACAGGGCTGGGGGTTTTCAAGACAAAACAGGTGCTTTTCCGGATGTAAAAAGCTAAATGTTTTGAAACATTCAATAGGTTTTCAGAAAAATACAAGAAATATATTTCATAACGTTAAAGCATATCCAATAGCATTAAATTGAGGCCATTGTGTTTAAATTTAACCTAATTATATATATTTTGGTGCAGACTTGAGAATTGTATATTCCTTATGTTTTACTAATAATTGTTCAGCCACTGAGGGGAAGGAAAACAAAGAAAATGGGAATGGGGAGGAAATTGGGAAGGAATTCTTGAGATGTTCATCTGTATTTTCAAACTAATCGGGAACATTTAGCCACTACGTGTGGCTAATTCATATCAAGAGGATTCATTTTTGAGCAATTTTGACTTCATTTATACCTTGACTTGCTTAGTTTGATCACAATTCAGTTAATTTACTAAATAATTATTGATTATATATACTCACAAACTGTACTGATAGATGAAGAGAACTGGTATAACTGTTCGGCTGAATCAAATCGCAATTGACTGTATCTTTTTCCAGTTGAGATGCCAAATTCTGGGTGCAAAGGAATAATTCATTTTAGAATTTGAAAGAAATGGGTGGGATAGAATCCATGGCCTCCTGGAACTATTGCTTCAATAAGCTGTATTGGTAATGAAGCCTGGAGTATCCCTATAGAAAAGAAAAAAAAAAAGAATGTATAAAAATGTGTGTACATACATATTTAGTTTATATCATGCTAACAGGTCAATTTAACACTATGCAGGTTATATTAAAAATGAGAGGAGGTACAGTAAGTGTACTAGTTATACAATGTAGTTATGCTTGATTTTTTTTTAATAAAATGCCAACATATGCAACATTACAAAATAGACAGCTACATAGCTGACAATGTTGGCAAGTATGCGGCAGTGCTTGATTGCTGGACCAAGAGTGGGGCAAATGGAGGCATTGCTTAAGTCAGGGTCTAGAGAGTGGTGCAATCTGTGCTTCTGGATGACAGACAGCCTAGCAGGCTTGCGCATGCACAGAGCAATATCGAAGCTCTTGGATATAGGTTCAAATACCCTGTAATTATTGTCTAATGCAGCGCAAGTGCAGCTAAATTAACATTTTTTTTCCATATAGGAGGCTTTCTTTACTGCACTCCACATATTGCCCTTTTGTGGCTATACACTACACGCCATATTCCAACACCACAGCTGATTCTAGAGCCATGGTCCTTAGAGACCTTTTGTTAAGTATGCAGATTATGTATATGGCGTTAGGGACTAAGCTCAGTAACCAGTACACACAGAGAGACTGCTGACTTTGAGAGGAGAGACCACTAATGGAAAGTCGGGGAGAAAAGGAGACCACTAAGGGAGGTGGGGGGGAGAGGAGAGACCACTAAGGGGCAGGGGAGATCTCTAAGGAATGGAAGGGAGAGCTCTATAGGACAGGGGGACAGGGAGCTCTTTCACACCACACGCGCACACACACACACACAATGCATCCCTATACACACAGAAACACAACATGCTTCCCTTACACACAGAGAAACACACAATGCAACCCTTACACATAAAGACAATGCATCCTTTGCACATATACAGAACACACACAATGCATCCCTTACACACACATGCAAACACACACTGTTTCTCTTACACACACACACAGAAACACAATGCATCTCTTACACACACTCAACACACCCCTTACAGACACACACACTGCATCCCTTACATACACAGAAACATACTTTGCATCCCTTATGCATACAAACACAGATTCACACAATGCATCCCTAACACACAACAAGAAACACACAATACATCCCTTATACACAAACACTCACTGCTTTCTATCCCTTACACAAACAACACTGCATCACCTACACAAACTGGTATCCCTATACACTACATTCCGTAAGCACACACATTAGATCCTCTACAGTAACACATAACACATAACACCTAGGGCGGCAAAAATCCTTGCACCGGCCCTGGCTGTGCGGTCACGTAGGGCGCCATGACAACAGAGGTGCCCGGCGGCCAACACAGCTCACAAGTTTGGGACACCAGCATATTTAATTTAAACGATTCCGTGGTGGTCCATTGATGCGCACCAGCAGTAGTTGCCTTAGATCATATCCTCTCCCTTGTGGCTCCGGTGCTCAGTTAGATTCTCAGCCTGCAACGCGTTAAGTGGACTTTTAGAGTGATTTTATATTCAGCATTTTATTATTTTTGTTGTTTATTAAATAGTATAATTTTATTATTCCTATCACTCTGGACTCCAATTCCTTTACTTCCTGGTTGCCATCATACTCCTTGGTGGGGATTATACTACCTATGCCATACCGACTATAGCAAGTTTTGCTCTAGCAAATGTGAGTAAGCCATTTTATACTGTTATTTTATATTGTTTTACCAATATATATTGCACTATTTGGGTTCTCTATATTTTCTCCACATATCATCTACCGGAGACTGATAAGACGCCAATATATATCCTAAGACAGGGATTGTTGTGCCTTATCTGACATTGTACCCGTGGTCTTACCTGACACTGTACCAGCGGCCCTTACATGACAATGTACCTGTGACCTTACCTGACCCTATACTATGACCTGATCCTGTAGTAGAGGCACTTACCTGACACAATACATGTGGTCTTACCTGACACTGTACCAGTAGTCCTTACATGACAATGTACCTGTGACCTTATCTGACCTGTACTATTACCTGATCCTGTACAAGCAGCCCTTCCATGACACTGTACCTGTGGCATTATCTGGCACTGTACCAGCAGGCCTTACCTGACAATGTACCTGTTGCCTTACCTGACCCTGTACCAGTGGGCCTTACCTGACATTGTACTTGTGCTGTTACCTGATCCTGTACCAGCAGCCTTTACCTTTCACTGTACCTGTGTCCTTACCTGACCCTGTATCTGTGCTGTTATCTGACCCTGTAACTGTGGCCTTACCTGACCCTGTACCTTACCTGGCCTAAGCTGACACTGTACTTGAAAACTGTTGTTCTCAGCCCTGGATGCCCGATACTATACAAGTGCCCAGTATGTGGCCACAGACACCTGGGGGCACAACCCTTCAGGGTGTGAGGTTGCTGTGCACTAGGCCCTGTGCATCTACTACTGCATCCTTGGCTCTAACAAACTGAAATTTAGATCCCCTAATTCTGGCGTCACCCCAGGCAGAAACGATTACAATCCCACCATTCTATACTTTTTATAAACACATGTACCGTTATCAGATTGGTGAAAGAGAAAGAGGGTCCTATACATTAAGAAAAGTCCTCAAGTTATGGGGATCACAATCCTTCTGTATTACAGGTAATGCAACACCTAAAATGACTTAGAAACACCTTTCTAACAATTAATAAGTACTCCAAAATCTTTCAAAATTAGCAGAACAAACAACACAAACACTTTCCCTGAACTGAGAAAATGTGCAAATAACGTTAATCTGCATTTCAATGTTAATCAATTAGACTAATTAAAGTACGAATAGGCATTGTAATTACAACACAATAAATCAGCAACATAACTATACAAGGCCTGAAATCTCCCTATAGTGGTACACATTTAGATGAACCTTAAAGGGACACTGTAGGCACCCAGAACACTTTAGCTCATTGAAGTGGTCTGGGTGCTGTGACCCTTTTGCACCTAGTTCCAGAGAACTGCAATGTTTATATTGCAGCTCTAAGGCTGCCCACTGTGGCTGTCTACTCATTATGTTTCCACAAATGTAATGTTGTTATCAAATTTATTTTATCTTACTATAATTAGTAAATGCCCTTATTGAAACATAAACTACATCAATTTCACTTGTTGAGTTTCTATGGAGTGAACATGCAAGAAGAGTTAATAAGTTTAGATTTGTATTTGTTGATCCATATAACATAAGATAGTCAATGAATATTTATTGTTATCTGGTTTAGTAAAAATCATAATATCTAAAGTAAATTAAAATGTATTTGCCCATAATAAAACTTGAACCCAGGATACCAGCAAAAATTTAAAAAAATGTCCTGCACCTAAAAGGTAGGTAATAGGAGGGTGACTTAAACATTTTGCATGTGTGTGTGTGTCTGTATGTATGTGTATGTGTGTGTGTGTCTGTCTGTATGTCTCTATATGCATGTGTGTCTGTGTGTATGCCCCCCCTGTGTGCAGCCCCTTCACCCCCTGTGTGTGAAAATTCATTTCCCCCCCCCTCTGTGCAACCCCCTTCCCCCTGTGTGCAGCCATTTCCCCCAAACCAAAACTGTCCTGTCCCGCACAAAGCGGGACTGTTGGGAGGCATGTAAGTGGGATTTCCTGGAGGTGAATGGTAGGGGAGGGATTGGGGGGGGGAGGCCCATGAATCTGTTTTTTGTACCAGGGCCCCCTGGTTTGTGTGTACACCACTGACTAGAGGGCTTTCAGAATCTAAATGGAATTTGGTCTGTTATCTAACGCTGGATGTCCTCCAGCGTCAGATTTTCCCCATAGGAAAGCATTGAATAATGCTTTCCTATGGGGAGGTCTAATACGCATTAGAGCTCCCCCGCCACATGACGTCGGCGGGGGAGCAGTGTAGGCAGAGCCTGACCCAGCGCTGGATTCAGGTTGGTAGCGGAAAGGTTTATTTTAACCCCTTCAGCCCCGTGGGAAGGGGGGCATGAGGGAGGGGGGCACTGTTTTCCTGGCACTATAGGATCCCTTTATTATTATTAATTTCTTATTTATATAGGACTAACAGACATGTAATTGTAACCAGACAACTGAACGTACAGGAACAGAGAGATGGAGGGCCCTGCTGAATGAGCTTATATTCTAGAGGGAATGGGGTATAGTGACACAAAGGGTAAAAGTAGGGGTAAGAAGTAGGTTGTTAGAAAAGTATTCATTGAGGGCTTAGTAGGTACATTTTGACAGTTGCAGGAGAGGAGTCATGGGGTTGGGGGATAAAAACCTGCTAACAGTTTAATTAATATGTTTTCTTGAAGAAGTGAATTTTCAATGATTTTTTGAATGAGTGGAGACTGGGTAAAAGTCTTACGGAGAAGGGAAGGGAGTTCCACAGAAGAGGTGCAGCCCTGGAGAAATCTTAGAGGCGAGCATTAGAGGTGGGAGTATGGGCAGAGGATGTACGTAGGTCTTTGGCAGAGCGCAGGGGCCTTGACAGGACATACTTGTGTATTAAGGAGGATAGGTAGGCTGGAGCAGCATTATGTAGGGACTTGTAAGCAAGCACCAGAATTTTAAATTGAGCCCTATATCTAACTGCATAGTAACTTACTAAACAAGTATAGTAAGTTAATTACACACCTCTCAAGAATGACGTTTGTTTTGTTGCGTTTTTTTTTCTTTTAACATCACAATATTGGCCTATTGAGCTTGACGAGTAAATCATGAGTTATTCCAAGTTTTAAGACAACAACCTTTTGTGACTTCTGCAGCATTACCGAAAGTAAAATGGTGTTCTCTGGATGTGTGATCAATTTAGAAGATTTCTCAGGATTCCAGACGAAG